ACTGTTAAAAGCACTGCTCAAAATACTTTTTCATCTGAGTTTCTGCCTTTCTGTCTCATGAAAATCAAGCAGTAACTATCCAAACAAACAATCATTTCCAAGAAATAATTAATTAATTAATTTAAAAAAAAAACTCAACCTGCAAGTTGCTCTTGAATAAATGTATTCATTTGATATAACAAAATAATAGAATGCCTTTGATTCCTGTACATTCTGGCATCGTGCTTTTGATCTGTTTATGCCTTTGATCAGCATTCGAGAAGAGCGCATTATAAGAAGTCACCTCTGTGCATTCAGCTCTCGCATCAGTCCAGTTACCAGACAAAGACGCACAGTGAACCTCAGAGAAAACACGTAGAGACAAGTAGAATTAAAGGTAACCAAGGTCATGCAGTGAATGCCTTCAAACAGAAACTCTCCAACATGCACAAGTATGTAAAGAAAGCGGCATCTGTAAAGGCCGTCTGCATCCAACGAGAGATGCGATTCGAGTGACTGGGGTAAAAATAATGATTTTTCTGTAAAAAGCGTACCTAACAGTAAAGGTATGCTGCTTTTTCCAGCTCACCTCTGTCCACGTAAATACCAGGAAACAGGGAAGAAAAACTGTTCTAAAGCTGGCAAAATTTAAGCTTGTGTAGGAATATAGTAGCATTTCTTCATTCTTTTTAAACCAATTTACCGTGAAACTGTATATTATTAGACACTATTTATTGGTACAGTCCAGCTTAGGAATGACACGACTAACACAGCTCTCTCTCTCAGTAACCCTTGCAGCAATATACCTCTTGCAAGGAATTAATTAAACCTCAAAGCCAATCTCAGTCCCGTCCTAGTGGCTGGGGACTGGACAGTCTCCATGCAGGCCCTCTGATGATGTCTCCCCTCCAGGAAAGAGATGTGAAGATCGGGGGAGGCGACACAGACAGTATCCTGCTGCTGCTCCCCACCCCCACCCCCACCCCAGCATAACAGGGAATATCTTGGTTCAGTGGCCAGCAACTGCTGAAGGGCTGAAGGGCATGCTGCCCACAGTCCCTCAGAGACACCGACACTGTGTGTGCGAGAGATTGTGAGAGGGGGACCAGTTGTGCATATCAATAGTGGTGGAGACTACACAGTCAGTATCGACTTTTTGGATACACCCACCTGTTTTTGCAAACAATCAACTTCCCCAGAGAGAGCGCATCTATTTAAGCAACTTTGAGCAACATCCGACAGTTGAAGCTGCCAAACACGTTGGCTGCACCGACGGCCTTCCCCTCCCGGGACTGAATCTCACTGTTCTGTCCTAAGTTTACCCAGAATGACGCTGCAAAAACACTGAGAATTGTACGAAACGCCAGTGCATCACAGAACTGTTGGCAGAATTGTCTACAGATGAGCTGCGGATAGATTGTTCCAGCTTTAACTATACAAGTCGATACAAACAGCGTTTACAGTAGAGCCTGTGGGTGGAGGGATTATGACGTGTTTCTGCCAGCTCCAGCTAATTTAGAAGAACACGATTATTCTGCTTATCTCGTCATCACCCAAATTTGAACCCTTGATGCTTTGAAAGTTCAAGACTTGCAAATTTTGTCGTCTCCTTCGCAAGTTCTGGAGTTTGATTTGCATGTGCACAAGATGTACAAAGTTAAGTTTGGAGAAATCCAAAGGCCTCTTTCAATCTTTATTTGTCCCCATTTGCCGTCCTGCTGTTTATTTATTGTCTGTCTGTTTCTGCTGTCCTTTTCCCAGCCTCACACCAGCACTGAGCCTCTTTTTGCCAGAGGTTTCTTTCAATTTGTTTGATTTTTCTCTCCATTATAATATTGTATTGCTTTGTCCAGCTCACCTCTGGCCACTTCAAAAGACAGAAAAAAGGCAGAAAAAAGCAAATCTTTCAAGATTACTTCACCAAACCTGACAGAAAATTGAGCAACTACATGGTTAAGTGGATCGAGAAAATAGGTTTTCATTATATGTATGTTATAAATGTTTGTCTTTATTTATTGGGTCCAGTTTGGTGCCATTCTGTTATTTTTTAGGCAATATTTACAGATACAGTCGAGCTTGTGTGTGTGCACATTCATAAATGGCATGGAGTTCTCTCTGGCTGCATGATTTTCAGGTCTTGATTTTATCATGTGAAGTGGTCAAGTCGTTTGAAGAAGCATTATGAAATGACTTAAGGAGTGAGTTGCTGCTTTATAAATAAAATAGAACAAAATGAGTGGAATCTCTAACTTTTACTAGCACATCGGTAGTCGATTTGAAATGACAGAACAAAGTCTGCTTCATGCTCAGGTTAATCATTAACATTTCACGGTTACCCTTTGGAGTAACGCTAATTTTCAATTAGATTCTGGCATTTACGATGGGTTTTGCAGCCATGAGGAACCTGCTGCATGGTATCAGTTAACCTGCTTCTGCCTTTGTTAAAAAGCTACGTACTGATTATTGGATCCAATATTTCACATTTTTCTGCAGGTATTTTTTGTAACCTCTTCCTGATAAAATAAAACTGTTTGCATTCTATCTGTAGTCACTCTGTTTTCTAGCTAAGTCCCGCCCACATTTCTATCTGATTGGTTACGTGTCACAAGCAGCGACCCATCAGCACTGAGTGGAAAAATGTTGACTCATTTTATTTTAATTAAACAAATGCAAAACAAATTCTTTTTAAAAAAAATGGCATTTCAACAAAGTTTTATGTGGACTTTGTGTCATTCCAAGGTTTGACACCAAGATTGTCTTTTTTACTACAAATGTACATCACCTCCAAATATCATTCATCGGTCTCGTTGATTACAAAAAACTATTATCGGCCCTACGAACACCACGTTGTTCTGCATATGGGAACTGTTTCTACTGTCTCAGCTGCTCGTGCTACCAAGACGAAGCAGAGCAATTGAATTTATGCAGTCTTTTCATTCTCTGCTCTCTTTGAATCAGAGTCCCTCTTTGTCACCTCACCACCCACCCAGAGATAATTCAATAACCTCTGCAAATGAGCTCTGTGTGTGAGTGCTTGTGTTTGCGTCTGTGTCTCGTGTGTGTTTGTGTGCGTGCACATGCGCTGCCTTAGCTGTCATTTTCAAGTCAATCAGAGGTGATAATAATAATCATTACTCCAATTATTAAATTTAGAAGACATGACTCATGCAACGATTATCTATTTCTGCTGGGGCTCTCAGTGTGTGTGTGTTTGTGTGTGTGTGTGTGTCAGTGGCCCCATACTAAGCCGGTGTCACTCCACTCTGCCATGTCTCACTTCTGGAATAGTGTCAGAGAGCAGCAGATGTGTGTTTAGCCTCTGATGTATAGAGCTGCAACCCCTAGCATGCACTCAAGGGCTACTGGGTCATTATGTTGACTGTGTGTCTCTGCTCCCAGCATGCAGCTGGCACAGACAATAACAACAAAGCAGACATTTAGTGTGACTTAGCAGAGGGCTGTTGCATATTAAGATGTGTTTGTGTGTGTTGTGAGTGAGGGCACAGATGAAGTGATCAAGTCGACAGCTTGCCGAGCAGTGATTGTCACTGATCCCCCCTCTGTCCTCAGGAAAAACAGTGCCATCTGCCACGGGCAATGCCAGCTTGGCACTCCGCACCCAGACTAAACTAGAGAGGGCAGGGGAGCTTAACAGTTTAATATAGGATACAAGGTCTCTGTGCGAGTCTTTGCTGTTGTGTGTACACTTGAGGAAGTTTGCTTTTTTTTTTTTTTTTTTCCCTTTGATTTAGTTTTTTTTTCAAGTTTTTGTAAAAGTGTGCATGAATCTGTGGATGAGTGAGTTCAAGTTCCAAACTTTACGATACCAGATTGTTGTGCTCCGGAAACTTAAGTTCATCAGTGAGTTAATTAAAAACATTCTTTTCATTAAGTTCTTGACATGTTACTGGGTAGAAGCAAACTGTTCTAAAGTGTGTCTGTCTTGGGAAAGATGTTGCGTCCTTTTAAAATTCCTGTTGATTTTGTATAGAAGTTTTAAATCAGTGTGTCTACATTGGCTGAGCCACTATATGTATAAAGTCAAAGGTGAATCAATTCAAAATTTTCACAATTAAATTGTGTGTATTTTTCATAAAAATACTAGTAATCAGTGGTAAAACCCTGATGTCCAGCTCTTTTTCCCATTCTCAGTTACTTTATGAGGGAAACATATTTTCTTATATTGGAGGAAAAAAATAAAAATTATAATTTTATTTATATAGCACCTTTTCAGTTCAATTTTATTTATATACCACCAATTCACATGTGTCATCTCATAGCGTTCAACATAGTAAAGGTGGAGACCTTACAGTTTTAGAACAGAGAACTCAACATCCAAAATTCCATTTGGGATTCCTTTGGTGACAGTAGAAGTAACCAAAGAAAAAACTTTAATCGGGAAGAGGAAAAAAACTCAGACAGAAGCAGGCTTTAAGAACAAAGTTTACAAATTACTTACTCAGGAGAGCCAATGAACAACCAAGAGCCGGTCAGGCCAAACAGGAAAAGATTGTAAAAGATTTACAAAATAAATCAATATAGCAAATTCCAAGGGATACTAATAAGATAATAAAAGCACCAAAAATGCCATATCAAAAGTAAAAGAATAAGTTGGATAAAAGACAACAGAGAACAAAACTTTAAAGCAAGGGTAAAAAATAGACAATTAAAATAGACATCACATAGAAGCAAGTCTATAAAAATGGGTTTTAAGAAATGAGTGGACGGCTGTGGCTCAGGTGGTAGAACGGTTGTCCTCGTGGTTCGATCCCCCGCCCCTCCACACTCGAATTGTCTTTGGGCAAGACACTAAACCTGAAGTTGCTCCAAATTGCACCTTGCAAGCCAGCTCTGTCGCCATTGGTGTATGAACGTGTGAACACATTGTAAGGCACTTTTTAAAGTAGAAAAGCGCTATATAAGTGCAGACCATTTACCATGTACCATTTAAATAAAGACACTCAAATATTCTGTTTCTACACAACTAAAACGCCGTCCTCCTGTGTCCTGTCCTGCTGCAGGTCCTCCAACACCACCATGCGGTCCACGAGATCTCCTACATCGCCAAGGATATCACGGACCACCGAGCCTTCGGCTACGTCTGCGGGAAGGAAGGGAACCACCGCTTTGTGGCCATCAAAACCGCACAGTCGGTCAGTGTTTGTATGGAAATGCTCTTCTGCATGCGTGTGCTTAGCAAGTGTTGGATCATGTTTCACCTTTTATGTGTAGGTTAATGTACGATTCATCAGATTCTCGTCCTAGTCGACCGGAACCTCTTGACATTTAGATAAGGGCCCTCGAACACCCGCTCATGCCGCTCTGCGTTGTTCATCAAACAAACTGTTTACAGTGTGGAGCTCCGGCTTTAGGTTTTGTGAGAGCGAGAAGGTTCAGTGCCACGGCATCATACTCTATATGATATTGAGTGCCTCTTTTGGACCTGTTATGATTGTTGTCGCTGTTGTTGTTGCATCTGTGTGCCTGGCTTGTTTCGTCTGGATCCAGCTGGCTCGCTCTGTAGCCGTATTGATTTCCCATAGTGAGTCGATGAGGGTTTGAGTGTGTGTCACCAGCTCTAATGGCATATCCATCCTCCCAGGGCCATGAACCGTGGCTCTCTGACTTAGACAGATACACGCAGACGCACACATACAAACACCTCGGCCTGTACTCACAAAAAAGCACCAGCCTCACTCAAAAAGCGGTTGCTCGTCAAAACGTTACCCCGTGAAGCTCAGAGCGAAGTTCTCATCAGTCAGCCGGCTGCCGTTTACCTGGTGTGCGCCTGAGGAAAGGTCATAATTATATTTTACTCCTGTTTTCAGGATTTGAACCAGCCATCTCTAGCATTCAGACTATTAGTCGCGGAGCAGACAATGAGAGGGGTGGAGGCTCAGAGCTTATGGCTGCAGCTGTAATTGGAAAGTAACCACTTTGATGTGAATTAACAAAGCGTCTCTGTCATCATGAAGACTAAGACTTAAGGTTGTTCCGAAAAGGCCAATTCAGGGTTACATTGGAAAGTAATTGGCTTACCACTCAACTCAATGTCTCAGCGCAAGAAAGACATGTTTTATTAAGCCAGTTTTAGTGCAGATGGAAGCACTCTAATTGTGTCAGAAAAAAAAGATTGCGTAGACATTTTCTCACTTCACTGTCATTCTTCTAACTTTTTTGGGGGGGAAAAAAAGTCGCAATTGTAATTAATTTGAATAGGTCCAATTTGTAGGGAGGTTACCAAGAGTTTAAAGGCTATTTAGTGTCACTGTAGAACATCGAAACTTGCTATTTTCAAAGCATTTATTACCTCTACAGCTATTATATCCTTTTATTTTGATCCCTTGGAAAAAAATTCAAGCAAAATTGCCACCATGAGGAAATCATCGCAGCAGCATCCAAACTAAAAATAATGTGGTGATAAAGTGGTTCAGCCGTCATTGGTGAGATTTTCTCCGGAAGCGTTGACTCGTTGGTGTTTAGGAACAAGCTTTATATATCACCTCTAATGGAAAAGTTCCAGCCTAATGCGTTTTAACATTTAGAAAAATCACCAAGTGATGCTACTTGTACATTTCTGGGTATATGATGCTATTTGATGGCTCATTTATTCCCGCTGATCACTATCTAAATGTGGCGTATATCACTGAAAAGATTCAGTGTGTGTGTTTTTTTTAAGCTTGATTTGGCTGCAAAAGTTTTTTTTAATGATCCAAAATATCAGTCAATGGACGAGCCAGGCAGCTAAACACTGGCTTCAGGGTTCAGCAAATGATAGAATCAGTACAAGTTGCTCAATTGTGCCGCGCATATATTTTCTCTACTTGCATATGCACGTATATTCTCTGAAGCAACCGAATGTCGTTCTTGGAAATTTAGGAAATCACTAACTGAATTTAATCTAGACATGACAGGTTTAGGGAAATTCAATATACCTAGAAATAAATTCAGGAATATCCCGGAGATATTCTGCCAATAACCACCACCAGAATTTAATTTGGGCAAAGGGTGAATCTGCCGCATTAATATTCAGCTGGATTTGGAGACTCATCTTCCACCTTAAAATAATGATCTGTGCAGATTTTAATAGAACAGCGTGTCTGCAGTAAAAAGGCTTCATCACTGCTTTTTGTTGGAATCATTTTTTTCCCCGCGTTGCCGCCGGCTATGAATTAGTCATCTGATTCAGGAGTGCTGATCCGAGGTTATCTCATCTCTGTAGTCCTGTGAGCCGGCCACTCCTCCGCTCATCCTTCAAGTTTTCTGCGTTTACACTTTTGAAAACTCAGTGCTTTTCTCATCTTTCTCTGCTGCGTCTTCTCTAACCTAGAAGTTTTGATTGAGGAAAAGCCAAAAAAAAAAAAAAAGTGAGAGCAATACAAGAAAAGATAGAGATCAGAGCATGTATTGTCAAATGCAAAGCACATCTGAATTTGAAAGAGTGACAATATGTCTCATTGTTGGCTCAGCAGTAGAAACCCAAGTGTGTCTGTCATGAGCAATATGTGGCTGAGAACATCTCGCAGAGAGACAACACTAAAATAGAACTATTTTATGCACGGCAGCATTCAGTCTGTGAACTCTGGGTGCTCTTCGCATAGCGACAGTCAATAATTGATTAGGTCTGAAACACTATTGTACCAGAAGACTTCTTTTTTTTTTTTTTTTTTGCTGTTGAGCTGTGACAGTTGCTACAAGTTGTGAGTCATCTAACTGGTTTGTTGTCGCTACTTTTTCCTCCCCTGACAAGAAAGGTGCTAAAAGGTAAGACAAGAGGCTAGTATCTGCTCTTGTCACTGTCTGAACCAGACCTAGAGGAGGAATAGAGCTTGTAGTGATGGTGCAGATAAGTGTGCTGAGCCTCATTGCCTGTCTTCTTTGTGTGCATGTGTGTCGTAAACGGGTTTTCCGATCCGAGTCGCAGGCTGTAATGTTTATTTAGCGTAGTCTGGAGCTTCCGCTTGAGTCACTAACACTGCAGAGATCGGTTAGCAATCACAGGGGCACAGAAACAATGACTCACAGGGCATTGTTCTGTTTAATGAGAGATTATAGACAAACTGTTTTTATTGTTTGTTTTGTCCAATGCTAAACTAAACTCGTCAGTTTGCCTTTAGACAAAAATATCCCATTACTGTCACCATTTTGTTCCATAATCCATCTATAATCAGTTGTTAGATATTAAGATTGTTTGGGTTGGTTGGGTTGGAGCAGCTTGGTGTGGTCACCTATACAAGGTACAGTTTAAAGGTCTAAGACTGTACCAACCCTAATTTAATTTGGCTTACATAGTCTTTAACAGTCTCCTCGTGCAACAAAACAACACTTCCACTACAACACTTGTAATACCGTCTGGAAGTCCCGTTATGTAAATAAATCAAGCACATATGCGATGGCCAATGAATAATGAATGTCCTAAACTGTGTCTTCAACTTAAATTTCATTTAAGGAAGACCAAGAAGTCCCAGGAAGTCAACGTTAGCAAGTAGGGTGGATGGGAAGTTGTGAATGTGCATAAAAAACCCAACTCATGCATCAGAGCACCCACATGTCATCATGGGACACTTTAGTCCATTTGCGCCAGCTGTTCTACCGCAGAAACCTCAGGACGCTAGAGAAGAACTCTGCCTTGACAGTCCGAATTTGAGACTCCAATTCCCGCTGCAAATGCCTGCTCCTGATGCTCCTAAGTCCGTTCTTGGAGTCTTCAGGATCTTCCACTGTGAAAGTTGTTGTTTCTTCTCTCAGTGGTAGCCGCAGACCCACTTCATAGTGATCACAAAAACTTGTGTAGCACAGGTCCCGCTGTTGATACCTCTGTGTCAGGTTGTCTCCTGACCCATCATATTTATTACCCACACATGTTGCACATACGTGGCGCTCAATGCATGCGTACTGTGAACAGTCCTCAAACTTTTTGATCACATAGCAAAATGAAATGTAATCTAGGAAGTTCTGTGTCGCCCTTACACATTGAACGCTTGTCGCATACTGAAACACTGCACTATAAAAAAAAATGAACTTTTTTTTTTTCATATTTTCAACTGTAATTAAAAAAAATCAGTTTACTGTTGTGTCACAGATTTTCCTTGTTGTGTTAAATTATAGATAATATCTTGTAAAATTACAGAAAGAGGTATTAATTCACATGTTAACTGTTAATAAAAAAATAAATAAATCAGGCCCAAACTGTAAAAAATATCCACAACAATCAATATATTTTAAATGGTAATGTGTTTCCTTACAATGTGTAATCATAAACTTACTGTGTTTTAATGTATTGAAATCAGCCAAAATTCTCATTATTCTCACATATTTGCCATTTTTTTCATCATTTTACATATTTTAAACATAAAAATAATCCAGAGGGGTTTTTTTTTTCTTTACATGTTTTTTCTTTTTTCTTGACCAGATTTTTACTGGGGGTTTTGTGTTGTTGCTGTTGTTGTTGTTGTTGTTGTTGTTGTTGTTGTTGTTGTTGTTTTAACAATTTCTTTAGTTTGTTTTTTCTAATGTGTACATAGCACTTTAGAATAGAATAAGTCAGTATTTTACAACTCTGCTTTGAGTCTTGAAAGTCACAAAGCAAGCAAGCAGCTTTACAAGCAACCGGCCAGAAATGTGCCCTTGGTAGCTTTTAGTAAATCAGTGCAGTGGGTGATACGATGACACTGAGTTGCGGCAAACGTTGAGCCAGAATAAATGTTTTGGCCTGCTTTGAAACAAAGGTTACATTAAAAATGCCCTCTGCATTAGGAACACTGCTGTGCCAAATAAGAATAAATTAGGTGTTTTTTCCTGAAGCGATCATGTCGGTCTGACCTTGGCCTTAGCCTCCTACCATGATGTGAGGCGAGTCCATTACCTGCCACATAACTGGAGTAAACAGTCGTGGTTACAATTCACGAGCTCTGATCAGCGCCGTGCTCCTGTTCGTGTGTGTGTCTGCTTGTTAATGGGTGAATCATGTCTCTTAGGCCGAGCCTGTGATTCTGGACCTGCGGGACTTGTTCCAGCTCATCTACGAGATAAAGCAGAGGGAGGAGATGGAGAAGAAGGCCCAAAAAGACAAGCAGTGTGAGCAGGCGGTTTATCAGGTACTCCTCCCAACTCTCTCCTACTGTTTTTTTTGGGATTTTTATTTTTTTTTCTTTATCGTTTGCCATAAGTATGACGAGCTTCATCTGAGAGGCTCTTGACAGACGAGTCAGGTAGGACTTGAAAAAAACATAAAAGAATGACATACGGAGCACTCACTTTGAGGTTTCATCAGTGGCGCCATCTGCCCATTGTGCTTTAACTTCACCTTCCTCTGTTCTGTCTTCTCCACATCTCCTGTTTAATTTCTCTTAATCTCCATCTCTCTGATGATTGCCAAAATGATTATCTGAATGCTGGGAAGCTGCTATGTCTTGCTGTGCTTTCCGCCTACTCTCTCTACTCCACCGGCTTAACTCTCCACCTCTTCTCCTCTCCCCTCTGCTTCCCCCCCGTCTGATCTATGCCTCTTCTTTCCTGCCGCCGCTCGTCTGCAGACAATACTGGAGGAGGATCTGGAGGACCCGGTCTACCAGGTAACTTCCTGACCAATCACATCACTGCTGTCACCTGCTGCATTCATAGCCAGTCAGCTTGCTCCTTTCTTGTGTGCACTGTGGGGAGACGGCTCCTGTTTGGGTACATCGCGGGGTTTTGCACATGTGTATAAAGAGTCTATTTCTCTCAAATCTGTGTGTTCGTGGGTCTGTAGCTGTGGGTGCATGATTACCTCCAAGTATGTTAATTTTCTCACGTGCTGTGGGTTTAATTTGCTGCTTAAAGTCTCCGCCGTGTGTCACTGGGATCTTTTCTTCAACTGCTTTTTAATGAGAACCTATTGACAATGCTGTGTAACTAATCATCTCTACAGTTTCACCACTTTTCTCTTAATTTCTTTATCTTTCTATGTTCCCCTCCTGCTTTTTCTTCTTCTTCTTTTTTCTTCTTCCTCTCTTCCCTCTGCTGCTGATGTTGTAGTACATTGTATTTGAGGCGGGACACGAGCCCATCCGCGACCAATCAGAAGAGAGCATTTATCAGGTACTCACAAGCTCATCTTGTTTGCTTGTGTCTCACTTTAGCTTTTAAACTATAGTTGCTGCGGTTAAGCTGCTGACAAGGAGTTCCTAAAAGCGTTTAAGCTACACAGATTTAATCTCCTATTTACTGGCCAGTTGGTAGCAGCTACATTACTCTTTAATGGGATAAATATATTGTGGTCTGCTCATAAAATTAATTGCTTCTTTTACACTTAAAATGTAGATACAGGGAATAAAAGACCGTAAGAACTGGAGGCAAACAAGCAGCCACCGCTCTCCAGAGGGCCCTAACAGCTAAAGCTTGCTTACTCCAGGGAGATGAGCCTTTCTCTGGGTGCTACTCCCCTGAGACGTGGGTAGACCTCCAAGGGATGAAGAGATGGAGGGGGGGAGGTGCGAGTGGAGGGGATGTGGAGGTTATTCCTGGCCTGTGTAGAAGGCGGACCCCTCCTCTTTTTCTCGCCTCCCCACCCTCTTTTTTTTTTTTTCCCGAGGAGATGAAAGAAAGCGGGGAAGGAAAGATTAATCACCAGCCTCTCGTTTGATCTTTAAATAAAATGGATTGAATATAGAGGGAGTGCTGGCGCGTGCACAGTCATACACAAACAAAAACACATGCAAAACAAACCACACACACACACACACACACACACACACGAGGCGTAAGAAACGTGAGCCTCAGCCAGCCTCCAGCCACAGAGGAACTAATGTATGAATAAAGATGGCCGCTTCTGGAAATAAACATGTGAAAGAAGTAAACAAGGCATTGAAAGGAGGAGAAAGAATGGGACAGGCTGTGCTAGATAGATATTTTTCATCAGTGCTATTTTTCATTTAGCGCTCAGTCTGATTAGAGCGCGTCCAACTGGCGGAGAGTAAAACTTTGTGTTCGGAGAAACCGAACCGCTGGCTTCATACATATCAGCACTTCGCTATCACCGCTCATTGTTTCTTCTCATTACACACACTGCCAGATCTATCTGTCTGTGTGACACAGAGATATTACATGTCACAACGTGTGTGACTATCTGAGTTATTACATGTCTGTGGGTGTGAAAAGCAGCCTTATCCATTCTTTATTAGGGAGAGAAAGAGCGATATATATAGAGAGAGACAGAAACCATCACCGCAGGCCGATAGTCTACTGATTAACCTAGTAGATGAGTTTTCACTTCACAGATTTTAATTCTGATTATCCCTGCACACACACATAAACGCTCTGCTAGTGATTGATAGGATTCTCGGCGAGCCACACTTGTGTGTCGCAGCGCTAGAAACAGTGATGTGTAAAGCTGCATTGCCTGATTAATCCAGAGGTAACAGGCTCCTCTTGGCATTTCCTCTGAACCTATCGGTCGATTGTGTAGGTTCCCACCAGTCAGCAGAAGGAAGGGGTCTATGACGTCCCAAAGCGACACCCAGTGAGTTGACCGTGTGTTCGCCAGTGTCCAGCCGACCTCCCCCCTCCTCAGCCTGCCTCCCCCTCTCAGACAAACCTCTCAGCTGTCCCACCGCATGACTCGAAAAAGCCTCCCCATTCTGCAGCCTCTCTAATTCTTGCAGTGATTCCTGTTAATATCTCACCACGCAGTCATGCAGATTTTCTCCCCTCCCTGAGAGGTTTGCTGGGATCCAGTGCCTTATGCTGTGCTGTTGTACTGCTTGTGCTGTAGCTGTGATGGCTGGTGCCCTCCTCCTCCTCCTCCTCCTCCTCCTCCTCTTCCTCCTCGTGCTCCGTGGTGCCTGCTCCTTATGGTTAACCGGGATAATGTTTGAATGTGTGTCAATTTGCTCAATGAAGCATGCTTGGCTGTGGTTTGCCAGTGGATGAATCCAGTGTAAACCTGCATGACCTTATCCAGACTGTGCATTGAACACATGTTTTGTCACTGTTGCATCTTCTTTTTAATGGATGTAAATTACATGTCTGACTATAAACGTGCATGGCCTCATGTTTTCAAATCCATATCTCCGGGTGCTGGAACTGTTTGTCACCCCGCTAATGCGTATGAGTGTTTGCGGTGGAAATCTATATCGTTGTTTGTGCGTGTGCAGTATTCGAATGCGTGTGCCGTATCTTTAAGCTCCTGTTACAGGCTCACACTGCCAGTGGTTATAATGAAATATGACCTTGACCGCTGTCAGGCTGCACTATAACTCAGCTGCTTTTTATCTGCCTATAAAGATGCTAGTTATATTGCAGCCTGATTTAATCTGCTAAAATCTTCACACTCCCAAGAAGCAGGCTGTGGATCTGTGGTTATACGAGCATGTAGCTGTAGTATCCTGTAGTCCTGTGTTCTCTCAGTCCACCCAGAGCCAACCATCTCTGTGTGTATTCCCCCTGCAGTAGGTCTTTTATCCTTAAACCGCTAAAACTGGACTCCTCCACGTCACTACTGGCAGTCAGAATCCCCACTCTATGAATTTTCGGTGGGCTGAGAATCAGTCTCGCAGTTTTCTGGCTTCACATTATCCTCAGATTTGGTAAGAAGCTTACAGGCACCATCGTATTTCTGTTCTCTCCTCACCCAGCCCACAACACATGCTGCTATTTGGATTGCCTTTGTGCTGGCAGGTGTCTGAACGCGAACAAATCCAATATTTCTCTCTTGTTGTGCAACCAATTGGAAGAGTCGCCCATTCTGGTTTAAATAAAGCAAATTCAAGTATTTTCTGCTTTCCAGTCAGTGCGAAGAAGAAACCGTGACCCTGGTATCACAGAGATATAAATGGATCACAGAAATTTCTGAATTTCTTAAGTGGCAGACAACATTCGTAGTAATCTGAAGATGCTTTTCTTACATTTTAAAATAAATCCAGGCATCAGATGGTCGAAAAAGCTGCTGCTGCACTGCTCTCTCCATGTGCTGAATCTTTTAAGCTCGTCAGTCCGTGATATCGTGGTGTATCTTTTCCTCCAGAAGTCAAGTTGCGACCATAAAATCACACTGTAAATATGAGCAGGCTCCTGATGTTCACGCGAGCCTCTTAGGTGTTCGCGTAGGAGAATCAGGAGGCATGTGATGGCTGCAATGTCTCACATTTACTGGGAACATCTCCAGAGATGTCAACAAACTGGTGCCAAAATACCTGCAAAGCAACTGTTGGGATAAAATACGGCAAGTTTAGCAAAATGCAGAAGAGCCATAATGAAGCTTGTGCTATTGTAATCCTGATTTCACTCGATAAAACAATAAATACAAGTAACCAAGGAAACATTTTGGCCGTATGGAGTGACTGCTGAGCTGTTGCTGGCAGTGTTGAAATAATGTGTGATCGCAGGCAGCTGGATGCCGTCCTCTCAGTCTGCTTGTCAGTCGCAGAATTACCGACTGGGGAGCGACCAGAGGCGGTGGCGGGTTTGCGACCACTGATGGGGGATTTAGTATTTATTTCACTGCCGATAGAAAGTGTTCTGAGCAGACGGAGTGACAGTAGAGAGGAGCGGTAGATGACATCAGTGCTGTATGTGCGCACACTACACCTGAGATGAAATGATCCCATCGGCAGAAATGTGACCTCCTGTCTGCAGCGGTCTCTTCTGTTGTTTACTCTGTCACCTCTTTAAACGATGGCAAATCAATAAAACGCGCGCACACACACACATACACACACATATCACATAAGGCCATTTCAATCTACTGAGCCCTTGACCCTTTAAGGCCCCAAAGAGTCTGTTGAATCAACAGAAGCTCTCACTACTTCAGAGTCCACATGTAGAGGTCAACGCATTTCCACCAGTCGAACCCATCAACTCAACTCAAACACTGGATTACTATTAGATGAGATGTGATGTGATATGATATGTGTTTGGAATGGAGACTGGAGATTTGTAACCGTTACAGACATTTAGCGAGTAAAAAATTACTATATGTATTTTGACCAATATTATTTTCAAGGATTGCTCAGGAAAAAACTAAATGTCATAACATAACCAAAGCAGTGCCTTACACCGAGCATCTTCTTCCTGCATTCTGTCCTGTACAAAAGAGCTTTCTGATTTAAACACAGGTTATATTAAAAATGACCGGAAATGTTGTGTTCAGGTGTTTTTGTGAGATAGAAAGCGAGAGGATAAGTGATTGACTTGGACAAAACAGAGACAAACTCGCCCATAGTTTGCCTGCGTTGTGCTCAGAGTTGTGCGTTTTCATGCGGCCGGTCGGCATGGTTTTTCCAGTGTGATCAGTCATGCGACAGGGGATCAGCAAGGTGGTGTTAATTAAAGGAAATGCGTTAATTGTATGCAGAACACATGTGCACAGGTAATTACCGTTTCCCTGGAGATGGCTAATTGATAGGTGGCGACTGTGCTGATAAAGATAAAGGGCCGTGCAAAGAGATGGAGAGAGCATGGAACGGGCGGGAGGGATAATTGGCAGGGCAAGAGAGAGAGAGGGATGAGGATGGACGGAGACAGTGAAGAAACAGACAGACAGAGAAATGGGCAGCAACAGACTGTAGCATTTAATGAAGAAGACAGCAGGTACATTATGATTTAATGGATTAAGTTAGATACATTTCAATCCACCCCCGCCATCCCAAAAAAATACATCAAGACAAGTGTGCATCATCAGCGAGATTGAAATGAAGCATTATGAGTTCAGATTTTTAGATAATAAATAAACATCCAGTAGAAAAATGGGCAGTGTTTACAGAACTGATTAGTATTGGGCAATCTGTTATTGTTTTCGGTATCAGCTAATGATGTCCATACCTCATGCTTTCATCCGAAGAAAATAATACACTCTGTAATATTGTCGTGCACCAAATACTGTACTCGTGCTGTGTGCCGATCCAATCTGCACATCCAGTTTCGGTGCCAGCGCTGGTGAAAGGAATGGCAGGACGAGTCGTCTTTCTGCTGTAGCAAAAAAAAAAGGTTTATAGATTTGTCCGTGGTGGATGCAAAATACATAGAAATATACTGGAATGGCTCTTTTATGTGTGTTTTTTTTCTGTGTTAGTGCTTTAATGGCACAAAGGCGGCAGTTTTTCCTCTATAATGCAACATACTCTCTCCCTTTGCTCCCACATAAAGCATGTTAGTTAATCCAGCTCCTCTTTTCGTGCCTGCCTGCCTGCCTCTCCATCTCACACTGTGACACAGGGGAGCAGGCTTTACAGAAACACAAATGGGGTTTAAACCCCAGCTCAGTGCTGTAGTTTAGACTAAAGGTAGGGATGATCTTTAAACCTCTTTAAATCTTCACTTGGTCTCTAAGTCTGGAGAGAAGAACCTGGCTCTGAGTCTGTGTGTGTGTGTTGTATGTGAACACCTGCAGTCCATTATATTCCTCTCTTTTAAAAGCCTCATTTCACCTCACTCCCTTCTGTCTCACCTGCTATCTGAGCGTATGAAAAATAACTAACATGTTTGTGTGCGAGAACATTTTCATCCCACCTGCCATCTAATACTGGGGTTGTGATTGCAGAATGGACGTCAAAATACCCCCCACCACCATCATCATCAACATCATCATCACCAAGAGCATCATCATTTTCATGATCAGCCCCTCCAACAAGAACAAACTGAACCGCAGCAGCAACAGGAAGAGATGGCAGTGGCAAATCTGATAGACTTAGGCCTGGAAATGGTGACTGAGGTAAGGCGCTATACAAACCTCGCAAGTCCTCTCGGTGCTGTTTCAGACAAATGCAGTGTTCAAAAGCGAGAAGGTTTATGAGTATTTTCAAAGAAGGCGCTGTCCTAAAGGTTAACCATCAGCCCTCATGAACTACTTCTTTAGTCACATCCTCCAATGATCTTTTGTCTCCCCATCCTCGTCTGTACTGCACCACTTTTGTTCTTCTCTAGTCGTAAGTGAGCCCAGCTCTTGACCCCTGTCATTTCTGAATAAAACATGCAACTTTGCTGTTGCCATAGTAACCAGGTTCAGACAGGAGTACCTTACGGGTGCACCCGTGCGTTCACACCTGCATGTGTCCATGTGTAAAAGAGGGAGGACGAAACGATACGGCAGAGAGAAAAACTCTCTGTTAGCCTAGGTCCTTTAAGGACGGAGTGGACATAAAGGTCAGAGCGTCTGTCAGAGAGCTGGTCGGGTCAGGGGGGTTAGCAGACAGCAGCGGTCATCTCGGCTGCAGACACACTAGTTTTGCGTCTCACGGCGCATTAATTCATTCATAACACTCTGATAATCACAGCAATCTGACCTCACCACCCCACTACCACACACGTAAAGAATATTGAGTTGGGTGAACTAAAAGCAGACAGAAAGTCTATAAATGTCCAACTTCCACTCGTGTTTGAACACTCGCTGCAGTGGCATTTTTCCTGTGCCGATGGTTTCTGTTTGAAGAACATTAGCAAAGGCTCTGTGTTATTGACTCGGGAGTGCTAAGTGCCACAGCATTCAATAACAACTATGGGAATTTATTGTATTTGTGGGCCGGAAGAGTGTTTCTTTAAAATGTGTTTTGTGAATTTAATCCCATGGACATTCTTTTATCAGTCCCTGTGGATGTACCATTTTGCGTATCTTGGATATCTGGCTTATCTTGTTGAGTCGATTTCTGTCTGATACGCTCATCTGCTGCAGCAGCAATGGTACATATTACAGCTTCCTATCCCCCTCCTCTCTCTTTGTAGACCCATAGACCCATACAGGCCCATAACTGTAAAACACCATGCTCACAGATCCATTTTCTGATAGATGTTTAAAAAAAAAAAAAAAAAAATAGAGGAAGAAGAACTTTGCGGTCCATGTGAGACCTAAGAGAGTGAACGGGAGGGAAGATATTCTAAGAACATTCATTATCTCTAAAGAAATTATCCGCATCCATGATTTATGCAAATCTCTGACCATGTATTCAAGGCTTAAATTCCTTTATCAACTAAAAATAGAGTTTCCTTCACTTGCCACCGGCCTAAAGATATTATTAATGTGCAAAAAAAAAACGGGGGGAGATACTAAAGAGAAGTATTATAGGGAGACTGTGAAAGGGAACAGAACGATACAGAACAAATTCAGATCAAATAGAAAGGCTGCTGTCTTTGATAGCTATTCCCTCTGAGACGCATCTCCTACAAGAGGGAAGCATTAATGACTTGTCCAACAGAAGACACTGGTACAGTAATGAATCGAGGGTCTGCTTTTTTAGATGAGCTCGTGGAAAACGTCTTTTTACCTTGAAGCAGATGACACAGATTGTGATAACTCTTGGTAGGTATGTCATCATAACCAGTCATTTCATCTCATTATCCCATCTCTCCTCGCCCCTCTTGTTACCTCCTCCGTTGTCGCTGCCACAGTGCGCAGGTAGGTGAAGCTAACGTACCTATCTATTGCCGTGTTGCATGCGATGCGTGATGCATGTTGCACCGGAATGGAAAAACCGCTTCAGAAATTGTACGTAGCCTCAACGGTGCAGCCACCGCGCCTGACTGCTCGCTTCCTTCTGATCCCCAGAATATCAACCAGTTAGAGATTTTCGGAGACATGTCGACGCCTCCTGACATCACCTCTCCATCAGTGAGTAGCCGTCATACGGACACGGATTCTGATTTGCATCGGAATCAAATATCATCAGTTTTTCCAATGAGCTGTCTCCTCTTTTTTGTTGTTGTTCCGCGACCTGCCCTCCACTCGCACCCTGCGCAGACCCCCGCCTCTCCAGCCAACACCCTCGACCCCTCGCAGGGCCTGCAGCCTCCCACGGAACTGTTTGCTCCCTTCAATCCCGCGTCTGTGCCCTCAGGTAAGACCTTGTTCATTTTCTGCTTAAATACACCGCTGCTACAAGCAAAGGGGAAACAAACGCAGCGGGAGAGAGAGAGAGAGAGAGGGAGGGAAAAAAAAAAGGAGTTGATTGGGGGAAGCTGGAAAGTCAGAAGAATCAGATGCAGAGAAGAAGAAGAAGAAGAGAGGAAAGGGGAGGGAGGGTGGGATAAATAGAGTGAGACGGAATAGAATTGAAATGTAGATGAAGGGAAAGAAGAGAAAAGGTGGCGTCGGTTGTGTGTTGAATATGAAATGCATTATTAGCTTGCTACCTCGGATACTGCTGATTTACCTGTGGCTGAGGCAACTGCGGCGGTCAGAGGAAAGTAATAAAACATGCTGAGATGATTACAGTGAAGACTCCTCGCTATGCGCAGGGCCTCTGTGACTTGGTATACTCTATAGTTCGTCTGGATCTCTTTATTTACTCCCCCCACCCTCGCCTCTGCTCGTCCCCTCTCTTCTTGCGTCTCGTTTTCCAGCAACCATCAACTTTCTCTCCTGTAGGTGTCAACAGAAACAGGGGGACTAGCGAGTGTGTGATAGAACAAGCTCCTACTGATGAGTTTGACTGATTTTAATGAGTGTGTGTGTGTTGAGCTCTGCCTTCTCGTAATGACTCTGCCTCATTCTGGAGGTAATTATGATAGTTCACCATGACCATTAAGAGACGCCACATTAGCTGCAGGCAGAAGTAGGGCAGCGCTCTCTGGTGATGCATATGTTATTGTCTGTGTGGGGGTTTGTGTGGAGAAGAAAAGCAGCATATGCACTGTGGTTACTCCTCTTGCTTCCTCCTCCTCTCCTGTTCTCTAAATTAAAAGCGGTGCACGAAATTGAAATGTTGTTTTTGACAGTCTCCACCCATTCCCATCCAGGTTATGTGACGATGGGGGCAGTACCTCCTGGCCACTGGTCTCAGCAGGCGTTCGCTGCCCAGACACCGCTGGCCTTCGGGGTCCAGTCTCCTCTTGGCCCGGTAGCCCAGGTGCTGCCAGGCGGCCAGCCTCTCATCTGGGGCCAGGCCAACATCTTCCCTGCCACCCAGCAGCAGTGGGCAGCCATGGCAGCCGGAGCCTTCTCCCCCACAGCCTACCTCCCTGCCCAGCCCGTGGGCACCCTGCCCGCCGCCATGTTCCAGACTCTCACCCCCGTCACGACTGTGACTCCAGCCGGCGAGAGCCATTCGGGCGCCGGAGCCAGCGCTTCGGCTCCCTCCCCTTCTGCGTCGTCGAGTCCGCAGCACGGGGAGAGAGCGAAGAAGATAGGAAAGGAGATGTTCAAGGTGGGAAGCTGAAGGATGTTATGTTTAGGCCAGAATTATGCTATCGACCAAGATTTGTGCTGTCTCATTTACCGTGCTTTTTGGAAAACATGATCATAGACGCATACAATACAAATCTGCAATTACTAAATATGACTTTGTGGTAACCCAAGCTTATCTAATGTGAAGGAATATTTTGCTGCATTTGGCTGGCAAAGGCTGAAACAAGCCTTAAATTAGCTATAACAGCGTTGAAATTTTATATATTATAATCTTGAAAACTGGTGGGCTGTATCTAACCAGTTTTAGTGATCTTCATTAAATCTTAGGCTACACAAGGTGACCCCAAAGCTGAATGGTTAAGGTGCTTTCTACATGGATGTAAATACCTTCAGCAGTGGGTTTCAAGTTCAAATCTCAGCTGACACTGACTCTGACTTCATGTCATTCGCCTGCTTTTTCCCCCCAGACTTCCTCTATGTCTTATATCTAATAAAACGGTCAGTCCACCTCTAATCATACAACTTTTAGAACAGTTTCTGCTCAGCCGTCTCTAATTTGCCTGAAATTTTTACAGGATAAAATATGGATACTTATAAAGAAATTTGTGAATTTTTATGTTAGTATACCAAATGCTTTCCCAGATACATTTTTTTTAACCAGGCGATTGGTTCAGGATCTGCAAAACTGCACAAGTAGATCAAATCAAAATTTTCACAGATACCATTCTAAATATGTACGGTTTGTGATTAAAAGATGAAATAAAAGGTTTCAAGCAAATCAATGATGCATAATACATGCAAGAAAAGTAACGGAAATACAGTACTAATGGTGCTGTTAGAAGAACCACGTTAAGGTACAAGACAAACTGATGGTGCTGGTGCAATTTTTTGGGGGAAAAAGGGGGTATTAAAAAGTAAAAATAAAATGTAACAATAGAAATAAGTATCATATAAAAGGATCTACTTTTTGGGGGCCCATGAAGAAATGTTGACTTGTCTGACCAAAGACCTTCCCCCTCCTTCAGGATTTCCAGCTGGCGAAGCCTCCAGCTATGCCGTCGAAGAAGCCTGAGCAGCCGAGCTTAACAGGAACCTCAGAGGCATTCAGCACTTACTTCAGCCGTGTGGGCACCGCCCAGGACACGGACGACTGTGACGACTTTGACATTTCGCAAATGAATCTGACACCCGTCACCTCCACGACACCGTCCACCAACTCACGTGAGCGCTCCCCCCCCCACGCCTGCCCACACTGTGCTCATGTTCTCATCCCACCATTCACTGTGTAGCTAATTTACCCATCTTCCCCTGCAGCACCCACCCCAGCTCCCAGGCAGAGCTCTCCCTCCAAGTCCTCAGCCTCTCATGTCAGCGACCCCCCCACCGACGCCACGGACCCCCCCACAGATGACTCGTTTGGGGAAGCGGAGGGCAGCCCGAGTCGCAGTGGAGAGGAAGATGCTGTAAGTGTGTGTGGAGTTGTGTGCATGAGGATGCTAGAAGAGGATTGTGGAGGAAGCCAAGTGTGTGTGCCTTTAATAAGTCGCTCCTTATGCTGCTATAACCTGCGCAGCGTGTTGAGATCTGCTGATAAATAGCCTTTGTAGCGATGTTGGCGGGCCAGGTAATCACTCTTGCTGATTAGGGGGCCGATGCTGTTGTGTCCCGTTAGTGTGTGCTTGTGAAAATGCGCACGTCGAAGGTGTGTTACTGTGTGAGCATTAGCCAGCATAAATATGTGCTGCTGTGTGTGAGTGTGTGGATGGTCAACACAGCGTTAAATTAGCTGGTGGAATTGTCAGAGACATCATTAAGCTGTTATTAATACCAGCCAGGTAGCGCCCATACATCACTACTTCTATATGGACAGACTCATCTCTGGTGAGATAGAGGAGGCACACTGTAGTGCCCTGATTCTTCTTCCAGGGGCAATTAATATTTATTTTTACCTTCAGCACCTTAATCCTGAAAGAGAAAGTAAGAAAAATTAAGAGAAAATGAAAAGATAAAAGCAGGTTTTTAGGGATGCTGGATAAATTCCCTTCGCCTTTGGCCAAAGTCCTTGTAGAATCTGTGACCTTCCAAGAAACAAGACTTTTCTAGTTCTTTCTCTTGCATTTCTCTGACTGTCTCCTTCTTTTTTGTGTGTTTCTTTCATGCTCTGCCCCCCCTTCTCTCCACTCCCCAGGCGTGAAACATTAGTTTTATGCCTCCAATCCAGCTATTATTGAAAAAAGAAAAAAAAAAAAAAAGAGGACTTTCACACTGCTGAAAATGTCACCAGGCCTGAATAACACACAGAAGCTTTACACAACCCAAAGAAATGTGCATTGGTGGTGGCACTGAGTGAGTGCGGCGAAAAGGTTACGAAGAAAGAGTGGACGGGAAAGATAGAGTGAAGGCAGAAAAACAGCCTCCTCCACGCTCGCTGTGAGGCGAGGTGGTAAAAAAAAGTGGAAATGTTTTAGGGTAAAAAACGCAGCGGATCAATAAGAACGAACTCCGTGGAGGCTTTCATAATTGTAAATGAGTGAGCGCGTGTTTAAGTGTGTGTAGTTGCAAAGATGTTTCTGAGAAGAGAGACAGGCTGCGTGGTTTTTCACAATACGGACACTTGTCCGTATTTCTCCTTCAGAGTATTGACACCTTTGCTCTTTGCTTTCTGTTCTTGTAGTCTTTACCGATTCCTGCAATCTTCCCTTCAGATTTGTTCTTCTCTGTCTGCTTTCTTTTCTCTTATACTGCTCCACGGACCTTCCTCTCCATCCTTCTCTCTCTTCCTCTTCCTCCCCTTCTGCCCCCCCTCCCTTTAGGCATGTGGTTCTGGGTCGCCCTGCCCCAGTGAGACAGCAGAGCCCAGCCCAGACCAGGCCAGTCCAGAGGCTGGGAGCTAGATAGCAGCAGGGCAGGGTAGGTATTAACACCTTTCCCTTTCCCTTTTTAACTCCACCTCCTTCTTATCTCTGTGTTTCTGCATCTTTTTTTCCATCTTTTCCTTTTCCTGTTGCATCTTTGGTCTCATTTTTACATGCAAAAGATGTGTTTGAATGCTGTTACATGTGTGCTTGTCACATGTATGGAACTTTTCTTGTTTTGTTTTGTGCTGTGATTCCCGAAAAGTATCTGTTGATGATGAAGCAGTGCTGCATGTGCGACTTTTTTCAAAGTTCATCACGCATGATCACTCTGGCCGTCGTGCTCTCATTGTGTCCTGTCTTTGTGACGTGCACCTAAATCACACCCAGGCTCCCTAAATAGCACACATCTCACCAGGAAAGTCAATAGCCTGTGACAGCCAATCAGAAACTGTGCACTTGAGTGAGCAGGATGTCTTCTGGGATTTGTGTGCAATATGCTGATCTCAGACGTTTAGCTTAATATAAACATGATGTATGCTGACATTTTATGCATTATATATGTAATGTAACTCATGATATGTGCATTATTGTAAAGGGAGCAAAGTGATACAGACAAGCAGCAACTGAGGAGAAAGAGTGCGTTTGAAACTCTTTGCACTTTGCAAAGTTTACAGCTTTCATATGCTGGAAATTTTCTTTTAGAGGCATGTCGATGTGCCGTTTGGCTGTTCAATGACACACCAAAGAAGAGAGTCATTTTGATCCCTGCCTCCCCACCCAGTGTCCTCACCCACACAATTCCCGACAGTGGCTCCTTAATGATAGCTGCTGGCACTCACACAGGGAAAAATGTAATGGTTTTGTTTTCATCAGCTAATACCGGAGTGCCAAGATTAATGACTGCCCCGATATAATTGGCATTAATTAAAACCCAAGAAGCCTTCAAGTCCTTCCCCACTCCAGGAGAGGAGGAGGAGGGGTGGCTGAGCAGCCTCCCTCCCCTGTTGGCCCACGTCCTCATATTCAGGGCAGCAGGTGGATGAGGGCCTTACGTGGGAGAACGGATTGGAGAGCGTCGAATCTGGCTGGAAACTGACTGGTATGGCCAGAAGCTCCCGAATCTTTCCTCTGTAGTAGGTGGACTGCTTTGGTCCTGGTCCAGCGATGCTGCTCCCATATGGTGTTTACTTGCTCAATCACATCGACTTTAGACATCTTCCCAAACACACACACCTGTGCAGCAGGCCCAGTTATTCCCCAGACAGGCGCACCTGCGATCGATACTGTCGCCACCTGTGCTCGTATTGGAGCCAAAAATATGGCGTTCGCTTGTGCGAATGTGTTTGCTGCCGGCCATAACCGCCTGTCCTGTCCTCCCCTCCCACTGTGTGGCTCCGACAGACATGTGTTCAGGCTAGTGGGAGTGTAAGTGTTTTTTTTTTTTGTTTTTTTTTTTCTGGGGTGATCTCATCATGTCCAGCGAACGCTCCCGAGTCTCAGCCGTGAAATGGCCTGCTTCCACAGTTCACTGAGCAATCTCGCGTTGCTCCCTCCCCTGCCCAGGGCCTAGCGCTTGCACGCACACAAATGTCCACACATGTACCAGCCAGGCCAGATATTTTGGCCTTGAGGCTGGTGCTACGCCAGCACATCACTCATACCTCCGCCGAGGCCCTCTCCTCTCTCTCTCAGTCTCTCTCTCAGTCTCTCTCTCAGTCTCTCTCTCTCTCTCTCTCTCTCTCCCCCGGCCGAGGTGGATGGAGCTGAGGCAGCCCCGGTTGGCAGAGCCTGTTAGATGATGCAGGGTGACACTGCCGGGCTGTAGCTCTGGTGCATCGGTTGAACAGTGTGTGCTTGCTGTCACTGCTTGTCTCAGCCTCTTTGTCACCTCTCTCAGGGCTGCTGGCAGCTACTTTCTGCTGACTGTCTGGCCTTGGCCGGCCCTACAGTCTCTGCTCTGTATGCCAGACCCGGAAGCCTCGGCTCAAACATCTCTCCCAGCCTCAACCCGAGTTTTCCTTTTAGATGAGAGGCGTTGCAGTTCATGCAACAAGTAAGGGTTTAGTTTGATTTTGAGTTAGAAGCTATTTTAAAACACTTTCATTTTTCTTTTTCAAAAAGATCTCCAAGGTACCACTCAATACCGTGAGACAGCTGCAGAGGATTCAAATCTTGCTTTAGTTGTGCTAATTTGTTTTGCGCCACATCCAAGCACTATAGATATTTACCAGCTTTGAACATCAGCAGAAATAAGGAGTTACTACTATTGTCCAAAATGAGAGATAAGAGTCAGCACCTCCAAGTCGGAGGCCATGATTCTCCAACAGAAACCACTAAATTGCTCCGTCTGGACTGCGGATCAGTTGCTCCCCCACGTGAAGGATTTTAAGTATCTCAGCATCTTGTACACAGTGACAGCAAAATGATGGGCAGACAGATTGCTGCAGCTTCAGCAGCAGTGCGGGTGTTGCACTAGATCGCCATGGTAAAAGGGAGGCTGAGCCAAAACGCGAAGCTCTCAATTCACCAGTCAATCACCAAAGGTCATGAGCTCTAGATATGGACCAAAAGAATGATGTTCGCAGATACAAGCGGCTGAAATGAGTTTCTTTAGTAGGGCGGGCTTTGTCTTACAGATAGGTTGAGGAGCTCAGACTCAGCTCGGAGTACAGTCGCTGCTCCTTTACGTCAAAAGGAGTCAGCTCAGATGGTTTATGCATCTGATTAAGATGCCTTCTGGTATTCTGGGCGCCCCCAACTCAGTCGACTCAGAACCCCTCGGGAGCCCCAGCTGAAAAATGTTTATGGGGAGAGGGACCTCTGAAATGACCTGCTGAGCCTGCTGCCATCATGACCCAACCCTTAATATGCAGAAAATGTCAGGAATAGTGACAACTTCCCAATGTGTATTTGTATATGTGTTGTTAAATTACTTATTTTATCCAACCAACAGTCCAAATCTCAACAACCCATAGTGGAGTCACACTGTACCACTCAGGATAGACACTACTGTTTTACTAAAGTACACACTCCCATGCAGCTGTGTTTTAGTTTGTCATTCTGCAGTTTAATTTGATTACGTATGAACGACAGGCAGCACTGCTGAATCTGAAGAGGATCTCAAGACTTCAGCATCATTTACTTCATGGCCATATGAGTGTCTCTTCTTTCCTCACATCAGCATAAACTTCTCTCCAAGTTCACTCACATCCTCTGGTCAGCTTTCATCAGATTAAACGAGCATCACTTTATCCTCATGGGGGACCTACGGGTAGACCCCGAACTCTGAACGCACTTCGCTGCACTGAGTGGGAGAAGTCTCGCAGAATATAATGGGCCAGCCTCCAATCAAGTTGTCTGCATGGCAGATTGAGTGGCTGGCTGTAATTATGTGTACGATAATAACGGCCCCATCGTGAGTGACTGCAGCAGGCTTGGTGCTCTGACTGCAGGGTGTTCCATCATCCGCTGTTGTCTTCCAGCTCAGTTGGAGAGAAATACAGACATGATGACTCATAACTGGTCTTTCAAGGCGCTAGTTTATACCTCTGCTGCGTACTGGTCCTGGAGGGAGCCTGGAGTGGGAGAGAATATGCATGTGTGTGCACAATGACACACACAGAAACAATAACTCACTTACACACACACATATATAAAGCTTTCGAGTGTGAGGGGTGAATTTCTCAGCGAGAGCTCAGAGAGAGACGTGACCTCCTTCAGTGCAGCGTGCTACTGCCACCTGGTGGTGATGTTCGGTACAAGGACTGGCAAAACCACTGCAGATCTTACTTGTCAGGGCTTGCAGGTCGGTGATACTTGCAGTTCAATCAGTGGAGAGAATGAATCATAAATCCTCCCTTATAATTACGTAACACTGAGATGAACCGCAGAGTTCAGACGTCACACACACACATATACAGGCTTTATGAAAGAAAAATGTTGGAAATTGCTGATGTTTTTTTTCTCTCTCGTTAATAGAAGGGGAAGGACCCTCTCTACGCCCAGATCAACAAAGGGAAGAAATAAAGAGACTCACAGGAAGACAGACCTGACCAGCACTGAGAGAACAGGAGGAGAACCCTTAACCTCTGTGTGCGTGAGTGCGTGTATGTGTGGCTCATCCCTGCCTGGCCAAGCCCTTCTTCTTCTTCTTCGTCTTCTTCTTCTCCTCCTCCTGCTAACAACCTCCCAGGAGGAGCATCCACACTCCCAGTGTCCTCCCTCCTCCTCCTCCTCCTCCTCTCTGCAGTCTTTCCTCCTCCTGAGAGGAGAGAGCCCTCTCGGTCATTCACTCCAGGCAGGAGGGATATCAATCACTGAGACGGATCCAGTTCTCCCTCCACTGCGCTGTCTTCTCCTCTCCTCTCTCGTCTCCCCGTGGCGACTCACACCCAGCCTTACAGACATAACCTCCCCTCTTTCTCCCTCTCTCTCCCCTTCTCCTGCTTCCCTCCCCTCCTCCTCTTCGCTCTCTTCCCTCTGCCTCCCGTGTCTGGCCAGAAACTGTGCTGCCAAGAAGGGACTGAGTCAAGCAGTGCCTCCCTGTTTTCCGACACACCCACACAACCAAACACACACACACGCACGCGCACGCTCATCGGGATTAGAAGTGATCATCTTTCATTTTGATGGACAGAATCTGCATTTGTAGCGAGCAGATCCCACGTGGGAGGAGCTAGACTCTTAACGGGCCTATCAGGGACGGCCCGTTACCGGGATCGCTGCTTTCTGATTGGTTGGTTCGGGCAGTTTTTTTTTTTGTTTTTTTTTTCTCCCTCCATTCTTGTGAGTGTCTGCTGGGTCACTATGCAGAAACAGACTCTCTGGGAGCTACTCACACACACCGACGACACGCTCACACTTTGCACACAGCAATCAGCCTACACACACACATGCAAACACACACACACACACACACACAGTCATGCCACACCCTCTCTTAACATGCATACACACAGTGAAATTTGCCAAACGTCTCTCCTCGCCGACAGACTCATGCGGAGGCCAGAGGACCAGACACGCTGAGGAACGGACCCTGAGATGGGAAGTGTTGCAAGTTAAACAGATTCTGTGATTGAACTGTTCATTCTCTATAGCTTTTGTACAATACTGATTTAAAACAAACAAAAAAAAGAAAAAGAACAAATTGAAAAATGGAATTTTTATTTTATAAGTCAATCAAGCCGCTGGGGTCAGCTCTATAGGAGTTATAGAGTCAACATGGCTTTAAGGCATCTGATCGTTGGTTTGCCAAACTCATTTTGTAAATAATGATAACAACAACAACCATTTTGTCCACTGGACTTCTGTGCCATAAAATAGGAAGGCTTCAGTTATGCAAACTCTTGACGTTAACCCAAGCAATACCAACATATGTTTCCTTTTTTTTTCTCTCTATGTTTGCCTCTTTCTCCCTCCGATATTTTGTTCTTGTGCATGGATGTTGTGCGTCTTTGTCCGAGCCTCACTTACTAACCCTGCTTCCAGCTCTAAACCTCGCACCTCTTTGTCTACTCGAGTCCCTACAGCTTATGTTGCCCAAAACTTATGCACCACCAGCCCTGTGCTTCTGTACAACAAAAAAATCATTTTTTTAGGTTGCAGGCAGCACACACAGGCCTCTTCCTCCTTCATCCCCTTTCCCCCAGACTAGTCTTTTAAAAATAACAGCGACGCTCTGCCCATCTGTCTGTCTGTTGGTCAGGTGCCAAACTGCTGCTGTCCGAGTGCGGACCGCTGCATCCTCTGCTACAACTACATCAACTGTGATGCCAATGACTCCCTATTTTATGGCCAGAGTCCTCATGTCACACGAGAACTCTTTTTGGACTATGATGTTGATTAACTTAAAAACTTTGACAACTAGAAGATGAGCGAAGAATTAAAAAGGGAAACGTTGCTGTTTGAGTACATAACATTTCTAGACCTATTTTAACTTTACCTCAGCTAACAGTTTCTTAATGTAAATTGACACATTATTTTTATCTTTATGAATATGACATTCTACAGTGGGTTTTTAGATGATTTTTTGGTTCTATCTTGATTTACGTATTCCACCATGTATTACTGTTACAAATAAACACATCCCAAATGACTAATACGTCTATTTATGCGTCTGCTTTTGTGTGTGTGAATGAGTGTATGCCAGGGAGACTGAGCCTAATGGTGTGTGCCTGGCAGAGGTGACCCCCAGTGTGTTTTTAGTTAGTGTAAAGCAAGTGCCACAGTATTTTGTGGTAATTTAACACAGCTTTAATGACCTGTCACATTCTGCGACACTGGCAGCCTCTAATGCAAGCTGTCACGAGCTTTATTAGCGTGCAGCCACAAAACAAGGACTCCGGCCTTCTTGCTCCCACTTTTCTCCTCCCGCCGTCGGAAACAGGACAGATGCTCGAACAACTTTAACGCACTTTTTTTCAGTTCCGTGTCATGCAGGACAAACTGAAACTTCACAGCTTTTAAACGGGCAAGTTCCCCTCAACTGACACACAGTGTTCTCACTTTGCCATTTCAGTCTGACGTGTCAGTTATTTGACATTTGTGCGATTTCCACAACCAATAAATTATGGAGATGATTGAAAATAAGTTATTGGTTCAAGCACTGAGGAAATACATCTGACAGTTTCCAAAATCTGTGTCCCAGTTGCTCCATGAAACATAAACTTTACTGACAGCAGTTTTCTGTGGGACTGTTTCTTCTGTGAAAGCTGCCAACGCTGGCATGTGTGAATTGTCCGGGTTAACCTGCGCACAGCGGAAGAAAGTAACTAAATACATTTATTTGAGCACTTTACTTAAGTACAGTTTGAGTTACTTGTAGTTGACTTGAGTATTTCCTTTTTTAATAATTGATCAGATTTATATAGCGCTTTTCTAGACACTCAAAGACGCTTTACACTGTCAATTATTCATTCACACACATTCATTCTGGTGGTGGTAAGATACGATCATAGCCCCAGGTACCCTTGGGAAGACTAACAGAGGGCGTGGCTGCCATTCTGTGCCTCCAGCCCCTCCGACCACCACCACAAACAATCCATTCATACGCATTCACACCAGGCAAGATGGGTGAAGTGTCTTGCCCGAGGACACAACGACCACGACACAGGTTACACGGCGGAATCGAACCGCCGACCGTCCGCTCTACCACCTGAGCCACAGCTACTTTGTACTTCAACTTCACAGCATTTTCACAGGCAAATTTTGGGCTTTTTACTCCACTACATTTATCTGATAACTTTAATTAAGGCGCAGATTTAATTCAGTAATGTGTATCAGTAATTATGATTTCATATCATGGATTAAGATAAACCTTTATTGATCCCTGAGGGGAAATTCAACCAGCAGATCATTTTATAAATTTGCTACCATTCTCATCTTTATGGTGATGAACATATAGTCATTCCCTGATATTAATAATATACATTATTCTGAAATATGCCTTTGAGTTTTAGTTTTGGTACTTTTGTGTATATTTAGTGCTTGTGTATAACTTTGAATGCATGATTGTTACTTGTAACAGAGTATTCCTACATCTTGGGATTAGTACTTTTATTTAGGTACAACGTCTGAGTATTTCCTCCAGGTAAGACAAGATGTTGTTTGATCAGTTGTCATACCTTTTTAAGGAATGCGAGCACGAGGATTGAAGTTCAGTTTACCTCTCTGTTATCGTAGAAAGGTCTGGAATTTGAAATTGATACCTACAACCAAGAACAAGGTGAAAGGAGTGTAATTTTGTAGTTTGTGTAAACTCATCCTTTAATCAGCAGCAAGCACACATTTTATCTCACCCACTTTAAATGTTTTTCCTCCTCCACAAGACAGATAAGTGGGTGTATATTTAATAATCAAGTAGATAAACAGATTTGCAGTCCTCTCCAAGAGATGCCAGTCAGATATGTCTGTGTAGCTTCACTGAAGAGCATCCAGCTTTATATATGAAGCCTGTTCAGTTGCTCCCTGACACACCTGGCAGCAAGAAGATCTGTCAGAACAGTCTTATTAATGCCTTGTCTATAGCTTGTGGTGTATTTGTGTCATATTATAAATGTCTACTCAAATACTTCTGTATTCTGTGTAGCAAACCTGGAATGTTGACAGACCTCTTTTGATTCCTTTTACTCTGTTTACCTTTTCAGGTTTGATTTAGGCTGCAGACACTTACCCAAACATCACCTTGACACAACATCTGGAAATAAATGTGGCTTTTTAGAGGTCCAAGATGTGCTACATTTAAAAAACAATAATGATAATGATAAGACATTTAAAAAATCACAGTGGCAAATGATCAGTTTTAAGGGGAACAATTGGAGCCACAGGGTTTCATGACAGTGACTCACTTTTGCGCGTACATGCAGTGCCAGCTGAGCCACATTCCTGCAGGACAGGAAAAAAAAAACTGTTGAGAGTCACCGTGTTGCGTTAAATGTTCAACCGGAGCCAGACCCGTTTGACGAGCCGGACTGTTTTTCAAAGATGAGTGTGAGTATTCCTGCTTCATTCCTCCACTGAAACCATCCGCTGTGCGCATGGGACGCGCGACTCTATCCGAAGAGAAAGACGCACCGAGGTGGAACAAGTCCGTTTAAGTTTTTAAACAGCTTTCTTTTTTTTTTCTTTTCTTTTTTTTTTTTTTTAGTTTATTTTAAATTAAAGGTGTTCTATCCCCGGACGCAGAATGAGAGGCTGGTGAAGAGAAATAACTCAATCGATTGAGGAGGTTTTTGTCGAAACACACAATGGATCAGGTATGTCGTCCTATAATATCCTCACCTTTACCCAATTATATGATTATTACGCTTTAGTGCTATAAAGATGTTTATAGTTGTGTCAACAGATATAAGTTTAATTTCACTCATATAAGTATTTAGTAAACTGAGACTGAGTTAAAGTCAGTATATTGTTGAGCAGCTACAGTGACCGTACTCATTTAGGCTTCCATTGTCCTGCCTGTTGAAAACTCTTGAATAAGACTGTTCACTATAAATCAGGTCTGTCTACTTTTTGTGTTCAGCTTGAAAGAGAGAAAAACATACAAAACTGCATCAAACAAAACCAGTCACCTTGTTTGAGTGCTGAACGTTTTATTTTACTATGAATCCATTATTTCCCTTATCAGTTAAAACATGAGAAAACGAGAGCTACACCCTCTTTCATAATAAGTGACACAATTTCTGTGATCCCAAACTTGTTAGGTGACAGTTAATGTATTTGCTGAATGTTGGTATTGTTCCTGAAGTTATTACACTGTGTCATACTTTCATCAGGAGGACACAATGGACTTCAATGCCCTAAGGGCCAAGTTCCAGGAGGAGGAACTCCTCCTGAAGCAGCCCAGGACCAAACCTGCTCTCCCAGAGAAACCAAAGGTTCTCCCTCCTCCCCAGAGCCCCACTCATTACCTCCCTGCAGGAGCGCGACCCTCCCTGCTCACCTCCATCAACCAGTCCTTGGAAGGAAAGAGCACCTTTGGTCCCAGAGTGGTCTTCAAGGATGAGAAGAAGGAGAGCAAAAAGCCCCTCATCCAGACCAACTCTAAGGGAAAAGACAAGAGTGAAGGAAAATTGAAAATAGGGAAAGACAAGTCAACAAAAGGAAGCAAAGAGAAGCTGGATGAAAATTCACTGGATCAGAAGCCGAAGAAAGAGAACAGTAAGAAGCTCCCACTGCTCCTCCCTATAGGACAGAAAGAGAGTACAGCAGAGCTGGTGCCGGCCACACCTCCACCTAAAGTCACAACACCAAAGAAGAAGGGTCTCCTTGGCTTCAGAAAGTCCACAAAGAAAGAGTCGATGGAGTTGCCAGCTGAGCCGATCCTGGACACCCCGAGTGTCGATGTTCTTGGACCAACACCACTCATCCCAGTGCCTTCAGACTTTGGTTATGCACCACCAGAGCCTGAAATCTCAGCACCAAACCTGCTTCTACCAGACAACCCCACCTTACCTGACCCTAGTGCTGCAGTGGAAGTTACCCCACCCCTCACTATCCCTGAATCTCCTGACTTCAACCCACCTCCTGCCTTTATTCCTGACATCCCGGCACCTGAAATCCCAGGCCCAGAGAATGAAACCCTGCCTGAGATTGAAAATCCTGCCCTGCCTGTTTCCAGACCAGCCAGTCAGAATGAAATTATACTCAATCCACCCAGTGCTGCCCCCACCCCTCCACCTACTTTCACCATCCCTGACCCCCTTCCAGTGATCTCTGCTCCATCCCCATCACCACCTGAGCCTGAGATTGCAGCTGAGGCTGCCATAGAGGCAGTGAATATAGTTGCAGTAGAGAAGCCTCCTACTCCACCCGTAGACCCTCCGTCTAACCCACCGTCTCCCAAAGCTGAGCGTCCGATCTCTGCACTCTCTGCCCTGGAGAGGGCGGAGGACATGAGCCCTGGAAAAAGAACACCTCCGAGTGACCAGAGGATTTTAAACGCTCTGGAGAAAGCACGCAAGAAGAGCACCAGGTAAACAACAGCAACTTCACACTCATAGTGCTGTTCCAGGAGCTATGAAGCACAAAGGATGGGATTGTGTTCATTTATTTATACTGTTCAGTCAATTATAACATGAATGCTGATTGCTAACTTTTCTTATCTGCTCTCAGCCCCTTGGCAAACCCCACCCGATCCTACTCCATCACCCCTCCACCTGAGGAGCTACCCCCTCAGATCAGAGCTGCTCTCCCGGAGCTCCCACCCATTGATTATGAAGCAGGAAACGCCCTTCCACCGAAACCAGCACAAGTCAACGGCATCGACCACCGTAAGTTCCATTACTCCAACCACAGCAGAGCTCTTCTCCTCTCCGCTCTGCCTCTTGTTCTCTTGTGGATTTTCACTGTTTACTCCTCCATGTATAAAAGATGCAGAAGATTTTATCCCATCATCAGGACACTGGGTACGTACAGAGCAGCTGCAGAACTTCATTTGTCAGTGCAGGGTTTCAGCTATACTGAAAAGTCTGGTATGTATAGCACGGTTTTGCGCCACAGGGTTGCCTCAGGTGTCGGTTTGAAGAGATACACAAACAAAGAGAACAGTCCTGACATTCTTCCTCTGTGCCAGAAACAACTGAGCGGCAGGCAGGGCAGAGCTGTGGAGGTATGTCAGCTATGACGGAGCTGCGATGACAAACACTTTAATGTCTGTTAAACGCAGCACAGAATGAGCAGCGAGTCTGCTGTTGACAGAGACTTTATTTACTACGAGTGTATTAATTGTGCAGGTGTTTGTGAGGATTAAATTTCTGTGAACCTGACGTTTCATGAAGCTTCTTGTCAAACATTACAGAGTCTTTAGTGTCTTCTGGCTCTTTAAACATCTGTTGAGCAGCACAAAACAAAAGGGCTTTAAAGGACAGCTGGAAAAGAAGTTTGAATAAATATGTTTTGCATTGTAATTAGGTACAGTAATAAAATATTGTGCACTTTTCCAGAACTGAGTGCTTTACAGCTCTTTTAAATTAAAAAAAAAAAAGCTACTTATAACTATGGTATGGAAATGGTGCAAGGAAGGCTTTAAGGGATACTCGAGGAAACGCTGCAGTTCTTTCTTTGTTGTTAAGCTACCCTCGTTTTTCACTTATAATAGCATTATCTCCGCTCTGCAGAGTCGTATCACAACAACCTCCACAGTGAGTTTGACTGGTTTGGTTTCCTCACAAATCAAATTCTTCCACTCCGCTTGCCTTCGCTCGCTTTATGTGTTCAGAAACTTCCTTCAGGTGTTGCAGCAGCAGTTGTTCACCTACTGTTTTAAGGTGTGACTCTTGTAGCTATTTGATTTTAATGTGAGGCTGTAAAATAGCTGCACAGACAGCAGCAGGGATTACTTGAGAATTCCTCCGAGATTAATGCGATGTAATTCTTTGCAGGACCAGCCTCTCCGGTGTTGGAAGGCATCACCGAGGAGGGGTCGGATCCCATCCCGGAGCTGCTGGTGGTTCCCCCTCCTCCGCCCAGGAAGCTTCTCCCAGACATCGACTCCTTGGGTCCTTCTCCGGAGAAGCCTGACACGCCTCCCACTGTCACCCTGAGTGATTACATTCCCCCTGTGGAAGAAAATGGTGTGGCTGCTGTTGTTATATTCATATCTTTGTGAAACCACACATTATTTATCTATTTATCTAATATCGGTTCATATTCCATCGCCCCTCCTCCACAGAGATCCCTGCTCCTCTTGAATTCATAGAGACCGACACCGTGGTTGTCCCAGAGTTTGACAATGTGGCTTCGGACACTCATTCTCCAGAGCTGCCGGTGTCAGAATGGGAGGAGTACATCGGTCCAGATTTTACAGACCAGCAGGACATGCCAGACTTTTACATTAATGGGATAACTGTTCCCGAAACTGAGATCCACACAGAGCCAGGATTCGGAGAGGAACGCCTTGATAATCCAGCACCAGAACCTTCCCTTCCCATCTCTCAAGACTCGTCTCCAGTGGCGGAGTAAGACAAATTCAAACCGACTTTCTTTGCTTGGAAACGCTTGTTCGTCTCTAAGAGGTGACATTTTTTTCTTCACACAGGCCTCAAGTAGAAGCAGGCAACGGTGTCTGTGAGAGCGCAGACAATGTGTATGAAGACATCAACACGTCTACGAACAAAAAGAAGGGAAAAAGTGATGGTGGCAAGAAACGCAAAGGACCCCCGAAGAGTAAGAAAAAGAATTATTTCTTACATGTCTGACCATATTGGAAATCAAAGCCGTTTATACTTGCTTCACAGGGGTGCAATTCTTGAATAAGATTCTCTAAAACATTTCTTTGTGAGGCAAGTAAGGGCAGCTTTATTTATATCGTAGGTTTCATACTCAGCTTTACAGAAAGTAAGAGAAATTTGATTTAGTTTGACCACCCAGGCATGATTTCTGTGTGGCAGACCTCATCCATCTGGTGCTACTGAATTCTGTTTGACCATATCGGGAAAATATCTTTAGATATAGTATGTAAACACAGAAATTATCCAGAAAACTGGCTCTCAAAGTGTAACATATGTGTGATTCTATCTTAAGGATTGTACCAAAATAAATGCTTGAACACAACCCTTCTATTTTAAAAACAAATTTGCACATTTGTTTATTACTGTACATAATTCTGATTTTTTTTTTTAAAATTGCAGATCCGTATGCTGAGGCAGCACAAGAAACAGTAAGCAGCTTTTAGAGAACTTCTTCACTTATTTATGTTCACGACAAGTGTTGGTTATCTGTTGGAGATGTGAATGAATGAGTGCAAAACGAATCAAACCTTATCTCTTTTCTGCTATTTACAGAATCAAGAGAAAAGCAAGACGGGCAGGTTTGGCAAGTAAGGCCCTCATTGTTTGACCCACTTCTTCTTTCATTTCAGTTTCCCCCCCCCTGAGTGTTCATGATGAGAGTATAGTTTACTTTTGTTTCCCCTCATAATCCCCTCCTCTCTGTGATTTAAACATGCTGCGAGAGAGAGTCCCTTTCAAACAGGCCGATATCCGTCACTGTCTCTTCCGCAGGAGCGACAAGAAAGCCGCCGCAGAAGGGCCGGACGAGAAGGAGCTGAAAAAGAAGGAGAAGCAGCGGCTGGAAAAGGAGAAGAAGGAGCTGAAGGAGAAGCAAGAACGGGAAAAGAAGGAGCAGAAGGAGAGGGAGAAGAAGGAGAACGAGCTGAAGAAGAAATTCAAAGTGAGTGATGTTATTTTGACAGGGAGGTGAAGGTGAACGAGCAGCGGGGGAGGGCGGGGCTGACGTCCTGGCATACAAACCAGTCTGGATTCATTCCTCCCAGTGGGAGAGTTGAGCTGAGCAACATGTGCAGGCTCAAAAGGAATCTGTGTATAAACATTCATTTCATTGTTGGTGATATTTGTGACACAAGATCTATGGGCCATTCATTATTTCTGCATCATGCTTTTACCTGATTATATGCAATACATGACTTTCTTTCAAGGTTCAGTTAAAAGATTTGTTATTTATGTTTTTGGTGTAGCAGAAAAAAAACAGGAATTTACCACAATAACACTGTATAGTATATTTAAAGCAGCTGTAATCAGTATTTTATATCAGAACTATATCATACACCCACCTGATTATAAGCAAACCATGACTTCTTCCAAGGTTAAGAAACAATAATTTAAAAAAAGAATTTAAATTAACCTAAATTAAATGTCGCAAATAGAACAGGAATTTAACACTTTGATATCGTTATTTAGTTTTTCAAAACAACTACAATCAGCATTTTATTTAATTTTATTAGACATGAACCCACAAAATCCACATGAATCCATCTACATCCAGCTTCTAAAGAGGGCATTTTACCGCCTTTCAGTTCACTGTTTTGATTCTCTGGTTTGCAGCTTTACTGCTTTATCCACTCTTACTGCTTTCATAGCATCATTTCCGAGTGCAACAGTTTTCAGTAGAAAAGCTTAAAAAAAAGTGAGTGAACGTTTAGCTGCACAGCACTTAATATCGTTAAGTGTAAAGCCCCCCTGGATTAAGAGATTAATGTCATGTTTATCACACTCTACAGCAACTACTGTACACATGAGCAATATGTTTTCCATTATAACGTCATCATGTAGCTCCTGTTAGGTCTTTCCCTGTTTCCATTGATAACAGATTCCTGCATTTTAAGCAGCCGCGCCGCCAACTTGAATAGTCTTATCAGTGCAAAGCCTGTTGCCTCTCGTTTTGACGTCTTACTCTGACAGTTCTCCTCAATCTTTATTCACCAGCTCAGTCAGGTTTGACATGTTTAATATCTGATGTTTGGCAAATAAGTTGTTTACAAGATGTTTTTTCACGATCGGTGAGGCCTTGTGAAGTCGGCATGATTGCGTCTCTCTAAATAAATCCTGTCCTGTCTGGTTGCGGAGGTAGCTCTGCTGTGCTTTTAAAATGCTTTCCAAATGTAGTCCCCTGGTAGCTCACCTAGTAGATTATGTGCACCACGTACCAAAGCTGAGTTCTCACTGCAGCAGCCAAAGCTGGATTCTTTCTGGGCCCTTCTTCTACCATCTTCCTTCTCTCTCCTTTGTTTCTTGTTTCTCTTCAGCTGTTAGTACACAAAATAGAAGGTAAACAGAAAAAGCTTTAAAAACAACATTTCAATTCAATTCATTTTAATCTTATTCCTTTGCACGGAATCTATTTCGGGTTTTATGTAGAAATTCTCTGAATTCTTACCTTTTCCTATGCCTTGCTCTGACAGAGCAAGTGTCAGAATTTACATTACATTTGCCTTGGATGATGTTACCTAGCAAAAGGGGAGACTCCACCCACAGGCAGCCTGAGGCCCATTAAGGGCCCCAAAATTGGCCAACCCTCATTGGAACAACTTCAGATTCGAAGTGTCAAGTAGATTGGATGAATAGTTGTCGAGGAAAGTGGAAAACAGACAGTCAGACAAAGATTCCTTAATTTAGTAGTGAGACAAGTTTACTGCTGTTTACTCTTTCACTTTTGGTTTTATGGATATTGAAAAATGTATGTATATGTAAAATATCTTTTCCAGTCAGCTGAGGAAAGCACACTTTGCTCCAATAGTGTCTCCTTCCATTTGTTCTTGCATCTTAAACATAGACGCTGCCATCGACTTTCACAAAGCATTCCTCATTTTAAAAATAATAATTTCCACATTTCCATTCCACATTGTATGAAACTTCCAAAAACAAACAAAAAAACATAACCTTGCCCCGATTCCCTGGTTAAGTGAATACACCAAAAAATTTAGACAACACCTCGATAAGCTGCTTGTTTTATTTGAAGCTGCTTTAACTCCAGAGGACTTTTTAGCACCATTAATGCTGTGATTAACCCACCACATTGCCAGAATATTCCCCTTTGTTTGTAATCAGTTTGCATCCTTTTTCACTAAGAACGTCGGTGGCATTGGCCCTCGCTCGAGGCTTATTACCTTGCACTTTAAGCAATCTTCTTTGAGTCTTTTAGATATTTTATTCACTGAATTTCTTGGTTTTTAATCGTGCCAGCCCCTCTTCTTTATCCATTATAAATAACCCTCTTACCACTGCCAGTTTTCCCCGCACACTTAAACATACAGTAGTTAACCAATTTCTCAAGAAACCCAACCTTGACTCCTTTAATAATTCTATGTTAATTTACAACTCACAATTTTTTTTATCAAGGTTTTAAACTGATTTCTTGCATGAAGAAAGAAAATATTAGAAAAGCATAATGTTAATCTTATAATGCATTGTTTGTCTTGATACAATTTTGTTACTTCACCTTTAAAATGGTTTTTCCTCAGGAATTCTGTTCTAGATTATTATGGATTTTATTTGTCAGTCATTTTATTTCTGTCAGTTTTTGTTGCGGTTGTTTGTCCATCTATGACCTGTGGTGTTCCACAAGGCTCCATCCTCAGCCCTTTACTGTTTCCTCTTTTATATGCTTGCACTTGGTATTTACTATTAGCAAACACAACATTCATTATCTCTGTTGTGCAGATGTCTGGTAGTATTGTGATTAAAATCAGCATAACATTGTTGTGCTTCAGAGTTGGAAGAGATGCAGTTGTGAAGGTTTGGAACAGATTTATTAACACCAGCGTCACCGACTCATTGTCACAAGGCTGCTATTTACTCTCTAATTCATATTGATTGATTAGGTGGAATTTAAAATAGTTTTCCAGTTTCTCATTCTGGCTTGGTAATGGGGACGCAGAGTTATTGTATTTCAGAGTTCTCTGATCCATAGAGCCTGAGGTTGTTCATTTCACAGCCTTGGAGCTGTTACTGACTGAACTTGGGGATCTATTTTCAAGTGGAAATCTCAAAACATAGCTCAGACCTAAAGGGGTTCCATTTAAACCAACAGAGGAAGTAACCTACACCAAATTTGATCTGTTCTGTCTGATATTAAGTGTTAGATATTCTCCACAGTTAAATAAAAATAAATGACAAATCTTTATACTTGGTCCAAAGTCAGTCCAACGCCTACAGCAGAGTCTTGTCAGCAAACTAACAGCTCGAAGCCTGGACGTAGTTTCTGATCATGATTGATTCAGGCTTTTCCTTTCTTGAGCAGATCTTGAGTTCACACATGCTCTTATATAATCATGTCTCGATTATTGCAATTCGCTTTACCTCTTGGGTCGAGTCACAAATGTGTCTAATTCAAAACACTGTGGCTCAACTTCCAATTAATTCAAAGAGGCGAGATCAAGCAACTCCTGTTGGACCTAGTTTTAGAGAGTTATCTCCTCGTTATATTGTAGAATTGCTTCAGCCCTTTGAGCTTGAGGGCAGCCTCACATCCTTCTGCAGGTCTCTGGCTGCTCCTCCGACCCAGACAAAGGGAGAGTTTGATGATGAGTGTCTGAGGCCTGCAGAGTCAGAGACAAAATGTTTTAAATCACTTCATGAAAGGTCAGGGTAGTTTTTTTTGTTTTGTTTTTGCTCCACTTTACTTTAAGTCATTGTTTGTGCTTCTTATATTTAACTGATTTGTTCATTTTGTTGTGAAGTCATATTTTTCATTTGTTCTATTTTTGTTGTCCTACATGAAGCATTTTGTAGCATGTCTGAAGAAGTCCTTCATAATCAAGTTATTTTGTGTGTAGCCACTAGGACATGCAGTACTAACCTGTCACTGTATCGGTTAGATCTCAGGGCAGGAGGATGCCATGTACAGCGCAAAAGTAACTGTAACAACGAAGGGACGTAAGAACGACCTGCCCGTCAAGAGCGGAGACACGGTCAGCATCATCCGAACAACCAACTGCCCTAAAGGGAAGTGGCTGGCCAGGGACAGCAGCAACAACTGTGAGTCTAAAACATATGCGTCATGATTAGCAATGTGTTCACCTCAAGGGTAAAATTGTGCATAAAGAAGCAGGAAGGTGAACAAAGGAGGATGATACAGGTACAGGAAACTTACTTTGAAAAGGTAATTTGTGTGTTTGAACCTGTGATTGTTGACATCGTGTGTGTTCCAGATGGATATGTTGCTGTGGATCATGTCGAGCTGGACATCCAGGAGATGCTTCAGCTGGGAAAGAAGGCTGCCCGCAAGACCAGCAGCAGTGTAACTGAACCAGAAGTTACCAGCACAGGAAGCAGGTATATACATGGACAACATATACAGGCAATACAATGAAAAGACAACACATGCAAGTTTTTAGACATTCTTATAAGGATGATGTGCAGCTAAGTTGGTGCTTTTTTTTTTTTTTCTCAGGGCCTCAAACCACTATCCTCTCTCTGCAGAAAGCTGTAAGTATTTCCTCTTGTTGCTCATAATTACAGCATATTTGGGTTATTCAGCAGCAGTTTGATATTGAGTTTTCAGTCTCAGATGACAGCGAGGAATGGACCGGTGATGAAGATGAACCTCTGTCTCATGCTCTTGACACTGCAGACCCACAGGGTCCAATGTAAGCACACGTGATCCTGTCGCAGCATCAGTTAATCATTAAGGGTTATTTTCTTCAGATTAATGCTTTCTTTATTTGTAACCATCTTTACCTCTGCAGGGCTCACACCAGGACGCTCTCCATGCCGGATATGGGTAAGACATCCCAACCTCTACAACAATACAACTCTGGGCACTTTCCATCCATCTGTTCTTTAAAGAAAGCACTTGAACAGTCGAGTTTCTGGTGTCAACAATGTGTAACAACTCTTTAAACCACTTATTGTCTGAAAGTCACTTATTATGCCACATTACAATCACCTGACAGCAAATTATGTCCCTGACAAAGCAGTATGACACGACCTGCATTCATCACGTCTATCTCCTTCCTACGTTATCATGATGGGGGCGTCCAGATAGAATAAACAAAGATACTACACAGTTCTTAGGCATTGGCTTTTGAAGATGCAGATTCAGTTGCTGTAGGAACCTTTAGCTAGTCGTCACTTGTTTATCCTTGATAATCAACAAACACGACTAAGACTAAAAAACCTAGTTGTTTTGTCTGGAATCAGCACAACAGTGTAGATATGAAAATGTTATCTGATCCATTTTCATTCCAGTCAGAGGTCAGAAGTTAAAAATACATGATTGGAGTTCAGAGTGCTCCACGCAGTGACAGAGCCAGACAGTATTTATAGGGGTGGCACACAAGCTGATATCTCATATCTATTTATTTTTTCCTGCGTGACACATCGCTGTAGGCTAAATAGTCACATTTATTAGTCACTTTCTTTATTCATTTCCTTATGCTGGCATGACTGCCATGCAGAAGTACACCAGAAGGGCTCGTATATAATAAACTTTTTAATATAGCCCTCAGTTGATGTAGCAGTTGTTCCAAGATAAGTTTTTTCAGTTGTTGATATTACAGTTTACCTTGCATTAGGATTAGGATGTGACTCCAGTTCTACATGTTTAGCCCTCTGATGGACTTCATTACTGATTGTGTGGGGGAGCAGACGCTAGTCTTAGGGGGCCATGGCCACCCTGGGCCACCTCTTGGCACCGCTCCTGGTTCCATGACTTACAGTGCCTTGTCCTCTTGTGGAAGACACATGACGTACAGGTATATGAATATCTGTAGCATCAACAGAGCTTAACTGGATACACAAAAGAAACAGAGGAGGGTAAACAACAGACATTGGACACATGTACGCATAATATTTGAAATTGGGTGTTAGTGGGAGCTCTGACTTTAAGAGCTGTTTAATCATATTTTGCCTAAAGTTTTGGGCTGTGAATCTTCAGATTCAATGTTGTCAGGAATGTAGTATCAAAAAAAAGCAGGACATGTGATTTGTATTTTTGGAATGTAGCATTTAAATTAGGTCTGGTCTAGATTAGCTGGCAATGCGGATGGATTAAGGACTCTGTGAATTAGAGAGAAAAAGCAGCTGACCTCTCAGCCCTGCTTACCGCTGCTGTGTGACTCACTGGATGAACAGGTTGTTTGTTCTAAACAGGAAGCTGCTCACCATTCACGTGTGTGATGGTGAATCCAAGATTTGGTAACTTGAGGAAAGGCTTCCTGGTGTCATGATGGTGTTCTAGTGCAGCACCTGTTGTCAGAGTGTGACATTATCACATGACATCGTACAATTACTTTTGATGATGTTGCTGCGCAACAAGGGCCAAAGGTCAGGCTGATGTTCTTAAAAATACCTCAAAAACCACCCCTGTGTATCAGATCTACTTCAAACTCGACACGGCGTTTCCTCAAGTCCCCGGCAATGTGCCTGCCAAGTGTGAAGTGGATCAGATGAACGGTTGCCATGATGTGCAACAGACACACAAATATACAGAGATTCCTTGATTTATGAGGTACATTAATTAATACATAGTGATTTATCTGTCTTGCTTATTTCTTTTAATAGGAAACAAAGACCTTAACATAAATCACCAGCACAGTCAGAGTGACATCAGCGCTGAAGGCTCCCATATGCAGTGAGTCCACCCACTTATTCTTACAGACACACACACACACGCACTACCATAGTGTAGATATACAGTACATGTGTATTTGTCGTCTTATCAGAGCAAGACATGAAGCACTTCAGAAATTGGCGACATTCTTTCATTCACCAAAACCTGCAGAGCCGATTGCCAGGTAGGTACGATGCACAAACACGTTCCCTCACTGTGCACACATATATACATGCACACACACACAAAGGGTTTTCATTTTTGCTTGTCCTTCTTTTACAGCAGCACCGAACCAGAGACGAGTAAGTGATGCTAGATTATTTATAAAGCATCGAAAGTGTTTGATCAATTGATTTTTGGGAATTTTAATGCCAACATACTTTCTACTTGTACTGCAGGTCCTGTGCCTGTGACGGAAGAAGCAGTCAGCGAGTAAGTAGAGACACTAAAACACACACACACACACATACGTAGAAAAATTCAAACCATGTTGTCCAACCTGTAGACAGACAGGTTGCCTTCCTTTTTGCCTGGAATGGGTTGTCGAGCATGGAAAGAGTGAATGTTTTATTTTTTGTGTTTGAGAGAAAGTGAGATGGTAGGAAGTTTAGTCTTGTCTGACCAGGAATAAAGCCGGTTTATGTCCTGGTATGACAGTGAGTCACCCAGTGGTGTCATATTCATGATCACAAGGAGGTCAACTGCAGAAGGCAACATGGCAGCATTTACATAAACACTCTCTGGGGAGGAAACAGAATGTGAGGTGATGGAAGTTATTTTTGCTTTTTCACAGGCCTGAGGCTAGTTCAACACAGAATGTGGATTTTGAACAGCCTGATATGCTCATTTTACCTCCTCCTGACCTGTATGCTGACTTCTCGTTGGAGTGACCAGAAAACAACAAGGTATGGATGAATCAGCTGGACTCTTCACTCTCCGTCACTGTGTGCTTGCAATGCTGACACCATGTTTGTTTTCTGTTTGCAACAGCCCACACAGGTTTGTCCTTCTTCACACTGTGACCCGTGTCAGTCACCTAATACTGTGACAGCATCTTCATCTTCTTCTACTTTCTCCTTATTTGCCCGATGACTGCGTTTATGGATCAGTATGATGGTTTACAACGAGCGACACACCATCTCAGTAAATGGATTTTTTTTTTCTTCTGTTCTTTGAAACACTCTGTGTGAAACCGCTGAGGGACAGTTTGGCTGGTGGCTCTGAGTGACTTTGAAACTTTGGATCAAGGTGAGCTGCTGATCCCAGGAAAGGACTTACAAACCGCTACACAAGCTTTGACCCTGGAGGCTCTTGTAGAGAAAATTGCATGTTTTGTGTGCACATACCGGAAAGGAACAAATATTTAAAGTGGTTTAAAAAAGGGGGGAAGAAAACAGGCAAAGTAGTTTTTTTTTTTTTCCTGATGATACATAGAGAACACAAGCAGTGAACGACAGGGGAATCATTTTATTGTAGTCTTTCTTACATCAGGTTCTTCTTAGGATCTCAGTCCAAAGAACACAACAAGTGTCTGAACATTTATCATAAGTCTACATACAGCAGTTTCAAAAGTCGGATGACTTTTATCAGTTCACAGTGTTTTTAGCAAACAGCTAAATAGAGATATTGCCAACAAGCTTACAAACTAACTCGGTGTTAAGTTTAGTTATCAGTAATTTAAAAAAACAAAACATCTCTTCATGTGCATTTGCAAGACTAGGATTAAGGTCAGTTTTTTCCCCAAATGTTTGTGTTATTGTGTTTTTTGTTTTTGTTTTTTTTTAACAAGACCATCATTTTCTACTCTGTAATTCTGCTTATCCTCATTATTTTGCCTATTGTGGATTGTGGAGCAGATTATATAACCACTCGTATTTAAATGAGCTATGTTTTAACACATTAGGTTCATATAATTATCCTTAAATGCATAAACACCAGAGAGGGTAATCTAAAATATCTAACTTAAGAATTCTGCAAGCTGCATTTGCTCTTCCTTGGTTATAGTTGCACCTTCTGGAGGGAAACACCATCCATAAACTTTATTTTCTGTGCTTTTTATGGAGCTGGTGTGTGGCAGATGTCACTTTTATGTGACACAGACTCTAATAGTTTCGTGTAAACTGATGAATAATAAGTATTACAGAAAGAGGAATTTAGCGTGATGATCGCCTGAAGTCATGTTTATGTAAAATACTGTTGTTGACTTCCAAGGCTGCGTGTTTGTCTGGAGAAAAAAAAAAAACACACAAAAAAGTCTGTAATGTGTGTGTGTGTGTGTATGTATGTGTGTGTGACAGAGAGAGTGTATAAAATCTCAAATTGACAAGACTTCAAGACACAACAGTTTTTGTTTTATATGCTTGTTTATTGTTTTCAATAAATACTCATTAAAGTGCAAATCATAACAGCAATATCATGCAGTGCATTACAAGAGAAATCCAAACCCCAATCAGACAGGGAGAGACAGCTCCAACACACTCACACACACATACCCTTGTACACACAATAACCAGTGTGCACACACAGATATCACACACACATACTGGGGTATTTAAGGTTACACTAATCATAAGAACCCCACTACAGTGAAACAGAGAGCACAGCTTTGCTGTGGAAAATACTCACTTTGGTACAACACGTAAAGTCTGTATTTAATTAGGCCCTCTGGCATGTGTTCCAGCCCTAAACACAGATGAGAGTTAACATGACTAACATGCCACTGGTAGTTGCATACAGTTGTAATGGTAGAGTACGTCACCTGACAGTAAATACTGGTGATATCAGAGGAGTTTTTAACTCTGACCCATGACTTCTGCAGGATAGTGCACTTCATTGATAAGTGTTTTGCATTGTGTTGTCACGAGCAGCAGTACCAGGAATGAATGCATAAAGGGCCAGATATGATCCCAAAGTTGCTCACTATAAAGAGGACAAGTCTTTTAAGACACAGCAATATAGTATAGTGTGATACAGATGATTGACAAAGAGCGTGGCTTCGTGTTCAGATCAGTTGCACGTGTCTTGCAGCAGGGAGCGCCATTTCTCCCCGACCTCAAAGAATAATCAGCAGTGTATGTGCCGTGGCAGACTGAACAGAGAACCCTACACAGGACGTAAAAACACTAGACATGTAATAAAGGGTTTCAGCAGAGTATCAAAGTGGCCTTCACTGTTCCAACCAAAAGTCTTCAAGATGCTCTCATAAGGCAAAAATCACTGAATCCATTTCAAACACAACGCCGACAAAAATGATTCAAATGACATCAACTGTAGGTCCAACAAAGCACTCAGGTAACAACATGGATTTAGTTCAACAGTCAAAGTCAAGACTGATGCTTGTGAGCCTTTAACTCAGCCAACACTAAATAAATAAATAAGACATTATGAAATAAATAGTTTGTACATGAACCAATAAACTGTGAAATAATCTGATTACAGCTCAACCCCTTTGTTATTTCAGCATTGTTATATCACAGTTGCTCTTACTGTTTTTCCCCAATGACACTTAAAACCATGCTGTTGCCAAACCCCTCCTCCTCCTCATCCTTCAGCCAACCACGAGCCACCAGCCTGTAAAAGTAACAATGACGAAGGAAATTTCCCAATAATGAGATTAAGTTATTGAATTATTTCAAAATGTATTGTTTCACTTATTTACAGTACGTTAGTGTACTTATACATATCAGTATTTATTTCTAAATGGCTTATTTACACGACAGAAAAACCCAACTATCCCTCTGACCTCAGTTTTACTGCGAACAGCATAAAGGCAACAGTCCTGTACAACAACGGTGCTTTAAAACCAAGACACCAAACTCAGAGAAAGAGAGAGGAGGTTTCATATGAGCAGCACCAGCTTTCACTTTACATTCAGTGAAAAAAAGACTTCATGTGTGGCCAGAGCGAAACACAACATTAATATGAGGTGACAGGACGATGCGGAACATTTCTGAAAGTAATGAAAGCGTGGCGTTCATCAATACGGAGCACAAACAACGGGTACAGTAAAATCTGTGCATCCACACAAAGGGTAAACCTGCAAACTGCTGGCCTCAGTAACCGAGTTTTAAAGTGCAGACTGAATAAAACTGACAACAGTCCAAACAGCTACAATACACTTCTCATCACCCACTTTTCTGATTCTGACCTCCCACACACTACAGCTGTACCAGAGACCCTTCTAACACACAAGCATTAAGTCAGTAGGGAAACATGACAACCATGTGGCACACTGATCTCCATTACCCACACTGAACACACTCTCCATATACAGATGCACAGAATAACTGTGTTGCATTCTTTAAGGCAACTGGAGAAAGGTTTCTGTGGCTTATACTCTCCTGCAGCAGACTCACACCATCTCACATGAATTTGTCATCTTAGTTCCTCCTGCTTCGTCATTTGTTTGTTCACATAAAGAATGAACAGAGGGCTAATTAGGTTTATGTAAATCTACAAAATCGATCGTTTATTGACGTTATTTCTTAAACAAATATTAGCATTGGACATAAAAGTGTAATAAATGTGCTTTTGTTTTAATGCTAAAGAAAATTAGTTTTAAAAATGAGTAATTAGGCTCCAATTTCTGAGAGACTTGCCATTTTTTTAACAACTTCTAATGTGATTGTGAAAAAGAATAATCCTTTCTCTTAGAGTTGCTGGCATTACTGTAACAAATGGCAAACGCCACCTGTCCTTACTCATGTTACTGCATACTGACTGTGTCTGTCGTCCTGATGTCATCGGCCTGCTTGCTGTTTTTTTATAAATACATTCTGTGCGTGAATGGGGAAGCAGCACTGACACTTTGAGCAACAGTTGCTTTGTTAGTGTAAAGGATTGTGTGTGTGTGTGTGTTGCATATTCAGTACAGTTAGTGAATGTATAAAACAATGCTTTCATGTGAAGAAAATAGTGATATATATGCTTCAACATACAAATGGCAGTATAGTGGTTGTAAAAACTCATGTGAGATGGTGTGACTCTGTCTCCCAACACTAAATGCATCATATCAGTCTCAGCGTTATCGTTCTACCATCCCGCTGTCTCTCGAGGTTCATTGATCATCTACAATCTATTCAAAATCAAGTTAAAACTCTGTGTTGATGCAGTGCTTAAATAATAAAACTACAGTGCCTAAAAAAATCTCTCAAAAATAATTATGGATCTGATATCTAAATAATAATCTTTATGCTGTATAAAGTCTGGTATTTGGTATATCTTTGTCAACGTTTTCAGCTACGTAATACGATTGTAATATAAATATAATACATGGATAACAAAAGCTTCTTTACAAACCATATCATATAAAACTTGAAATTTTACATGTAGTTATGTTCCCTCAGACACAGATTTAATGTCGGTTTTTACAACCAGCGCCCCAATTAAAATATGGGACAAGATTCAAAACTGACCTCCGATCAATGTCTACGGTGAACTCAGCAGGATTTCCCGCCATTAAGTGGTGTGGTGGGTGATGACGTTTCAGCAGTTGATAACAGATTGAAAGTATTTGTGGGACGAGTGACAGTGAACTTGACCTTTGCTGACTCCAACACGACTGTAAATTGTGACCTCTGGCCTCTCGCTTCGCCGGCCTCTGCCAGTTCACAGATTCCAGTCCTGGGATCAGTTTTCACAAGCTGCAGCCTGATGTTTAAACACCAAGACTTTGACCCAATTAGTGTGTCAAAACAAGAAAAAAAAGAAGCGATTAATCAGCCTTTTCTTTCCCTCTTTCTCTCTCCTTCATCTGAGGGGAACACCACATACCCATTGCCTTTTATATTTCCTCTCACTCTTTCAGTCCAATACCACGGGAACAGATAGAGAGGAGACAGAAAGAGGAAGTCGCACCAAACATCTACACTCCCTACATCCCAGATCTGCAATTAGCTTAAAAACCCCACTGACATCCAGATTACAGAGAGGTTAGGAGTCAGCAGGTCTCAGCGCGCCAGCGTGGTGATCAGACTGGCACACATTTCAAAGAAGTCCATGGTGTGTGATCCCTGACGTGGGGCGAGCAGAGGGGAGCTACCCGACAGGGATCCTGGGAGAGAGGAGCTGAGCTGGGGCAGATCAATCGCTGGGCTTGCCGAGTCGATGCTCAGTCTGGGTCTGTGGAGACCAGCTGTGGAGCCTGACCTCTGCGGGGTGGACGAACCCGATTTAAAGCCCACTGCTTCGATGATGTCATCTGAGGGTAAAAGCGCAGCAGCAGAAGACTGTATTAAATTAGCTCATGAAGTAACATAGTTTATGTAGTTTTACTGCCGTTTGTTCATATAATTTGCATTGTGTATGGAATTGGTGTGAAACAGCTGACCAATCTCAGCAGAGCAGACAGGTACATACCTGCCACACATATCAGTGCTAAATTAAAAATCTAAATCAAGGTCAAAAATGGCAAACTAAACATACATGTAAGGACATTAAAAGCAGCTTCTTGTGCATTAAATGTGGCCTATACTGGATAAAATGCAATTTCATGCTGAAGAAAGTGCGAAAAAGTACAGCCATCCACCTGATCTATAATAAATGTAAAAACAGTGATCTTCTTTATGAACCATAAATAAATATTTGCTATATTTTTGTCAACTTCTTCCACTTCAAACCGTATAATGTAAAACCTGACAGAGAATGCTACATGTAGTAATGATCCCTCCTATTAAAAGTTATATATGCTTCAAATACCCTCAAAATGGCTACTGCTTATCAAAATTATCAAACTCGACACTGCACTACCTTTGGTCTGCAGCATTAGAGTTATATATTTTCTACCCCCCAAATGTTTTCCAGTGACCCTGGCTAGTCTACACTTGAACAGTGACAAGTCACCCATATTGTATTTCTTTCAGATTGCACATATACACCTCCATTAAACATCCATCTTTTACAGTAGAATAATATCCCAACATCCGTGGTGAAGCTCAGGGCTCAACCTGATGATGGCAACTGTCTGATAAGGATTTAACTGTGACTGTATGACAGATCATCCATCTGAAGTGAAGAGTAAACAGTATCATTAGCTGCTAGATGCTGCCTGATCTGCATAAATAGCAAACCCAGACAACATATTTTCCAAATGCTAATAATTTAAAAAATACAAAATCACATTTTTGATTTCTAGGGCAGGTAGACAGATTGGTGTGTGTATGGAGTTTAAGTTACACCTGTTTCTAAGCACCATCAAAGGCAAGATTCTCAAATGTTGTAGCTTAAAAGAAAGACTCTCAAATGCTGTCATGGATCAAAGGTAAGATTCAAAAATGTTAAAGATCAAAAACAGAGTCCAACCACTGACAGCGGACTCTACACTAGCATTACAAATGAATTATTAACTAGAAATGTTCTGAAATGAGTCCTGTCTATTACTAACCATCGATGCTCTTGAAGTCGAGGAGGTAGGATCTGTTGTCCACCTGGTAAAGCTGCAGGCTCATTTTCACCAAGTTGCCTGTCACTGGATTCTTCCTCCGCACTCTCAGATGGTACGGGTTTACCACCTACAACGGCAAGCAGCAGACAGTCTAGATTGTACGTAGACCGATGTATGTGCTGTACATATGTAGGTATGTATAAAAGATATCTGTTACCTTCCAGTCAAAACTGAGCTGTTTCATCGCTCTGTACACCTCAGCCATAATATCATAGGGTCTGCTCTGACTCCTGATACCCAGGTGCCACTTGGCTTTCTTCACGGCCAGTGGTTTAGGTCGGGTGGTGTTGAGAGCATCCAGAGGACAACGAGACTTGGGGCTGTCAGCCAGGAGTGGAGGCATCCTCTCTGGGTGGGGTTTGACCCCGGGGGGCAGCGGCATGCCCTCCTCTATGAAAGAGCCCTGCGGAGGACTGGATGCCAAGTAGAACTCACTGGCCTGGGTCATGATGCGCCGGTTATCAATGATGAGGTGATAGGCTACTGCTAACTGATCCTGCATAGACAGAGGAAAGACAGAAAGTAAAGTGAAGATGAGGGAGAACATTCAGACCTACAGGTTATAAACTGGGCAGCAGTCAAACCCACACATATACTGATCATCCACAACATTAAAACCACTAATAGGTAAAGTGAATAACTTTAGAGATCTCGTTACAATAACACCTGCCAAGGGGTGGGATATAGTGGTGAGCAGGCAATTCTTAAAGTTTCCTGGAAGCAAGAAAAACGGGCAAGCGTCGGGATCTGAGAGACTTTGACAACGGCCAAATTGTGATGGCTAGAAGACCGGGTCAGAACATCTCAAAAATGACAGGCCTTGTGGCATGTTCCTAGTGTGCAGTGGTTAGTACATATCAAAGTGATCCAAGGAAAGACGACCAGCGAAGCAGTAACAGGCCTACGAGTGCCCAGGGCTCACTGATGTGCGTCGGGAACGGCAGCTAGCTTGTGTGGCCTGATCCCACAGAGGAGCCACTGTAGTACAAATTGCTGAAAACCTTAATGCTCGCTATGACAGAAAGGTGTCAGAGGTCACAGTGCATCACAGCTTGCTGGGTATGGAACGGCATAGCTGCCGACCGGTCAGAGAGCCCATGCTGACCCCTGCTCACCACCCAATGTTCCGAAAATGGGCATTTGAGCATCAGAATTGGACCATGGAGCAATGGAAAAAGGACGTCTGATCTGATAAATCACGTCTTTTTGACATATGTGGATGGTTGATTGTTTGTACATCATTTACCAGGGGAAGAAAGGGCAGCAGGGTGGGGAGCACTGTAGGAAGAAGACACATCAGCAGAGGCAGTATGATGCTCTGGGAAATGTTCTGATGGGAAGTCTTGGGTTTGGATATTAATGTGGGTTACACTGACATGCAAACCTATCTGAACAGTGTTGCAGAGCGCATACAGTCCTTCATGTTAACAGTATTCCCTTTCAGCAGGATAATGCTTCCTGCCACACTGTAAAAAATGTTCAGAAATGGTTTAAGGCACATGACAAAGAGTTCAAAGTGTTGACTTGGTTTCCAAACTCCTCAGATCTCAATCTGATCAAGCATGTGGGATGAGCTGGAAAAACAAGTTCTATCCAAGAATGCCCCACCTGCAATTGAAAGGACTTAAAGGATCTGATGCTAACGTCTTGACGCCTGAAAACAAACCATACCTTCAGAGGTTTTGTAGCCTTGACAGGTCAGAGCTGTTTTGGTGGCACAAGTGGAACCTAAACAATACTATGATTTTAATGTTGTGGCTGATCAGTGTAACTGCTTATTTCCACGAATGAACAGTTTGGTTTGACAGTTAAAAAAAAGCACAATCACTTGCTCTATCATAAAGTGTAGAAGTAGAAAAATAATTTGGACAAACCTACAATGGCCGCAGAAGGACAGGACAGCAGTAAGAAAAGGGACAAGAACTTGATCAGCAAACTAAAACTGAGCTACTGCATATACATAACAGTATATAATCTTGTTGCGCACAGGTTTAATATTAGAACAATAACATTTTATTTAACAGATAAACAACACTAATTTGTTTCTTAAACACTGTGAATGGTTACCTGTGGATCTCCACTGTAGAGGCTAGACATAACCTCAGAGTCAGTGCATTCAAACTTCTCACACACTTCCCGTACGGCTTCTTCATCCAGGACTGTGGCATCATACGACGGGTCCTCCGGGAACAGGTAGCCTGGTAGATCCTGCTTAAACCACTCATGTTCCCTGAACAAAAAAAACCCCAAAAACATCATTAATTGTCAATTCAAACACATCTAATCTGACTTCCGCAGACACAAAAGTTCAAACTATGTGACATTTAAACTTGCATGAAGTCAGACTGTTGTCAAACAGATGTCTTTTTGTGTAATGACACTCCAGATGGGGGAGCTTTAAATTTACAGAGCTGGCAGTGACACAAAAGTAGTCATCTGGGCAGTGGATAGCACTGTCGCCTCACAGCTCGAAGGTCCTGGGTTCAAACCTAGGCCTGAGGTCTTTCTGTGTGGAGTTTGCATGTTCTCCCTGTGCCTGGTGGGTTCTCACTGGGTGCTCCGGCTTATTCCCACAGTCTTAGGTTACTTGGTGATTCTAAATTGTCTGTAGGTGTGAATGCGAGTGTGCTTGGTTGTCTGTCTCTAAGTGGATGTCCTACATCAGTCTGATTTACTGTAGTTTGGAAAGATTAATGTGATGCAAAGACATCATGCTGTATTGAGGGAGGCAAAACTGTCAACTGGTTCAACTGCTGATCCTAAGCTGTGACAGTAATTTATGTCAATCACTAAACATTTTTTCTTGCATTTGACCAAGACAAATTTTGATTTAATTTGAACCCTTTTGCTGTGTCCAGCCCAACTACTTTAGACATCTGTCTTATTTTCTGTGGCAACATTGAACATCTATACTGTTCTTTAAGTACCCTGTTTGATATATTCATATAGATATATCAAGTGATTATGTTACTGTATATAAAGAGAAATATATTACAGTAAGAACTAGAATTACCGCCTTGCAGCTGTATGCCTTTGCCAACCAGTGAAGCTGCAGTTTATTGCCATGTCTTTCCAGACTCATAATATAGTTAAGACTTTCAGTACCTAACCAAATGTCAAATATGGTCACAGCCCCATTTTGCTCCGGACTTATAGCGTTGAATAACGGTCAGAAACAAGTTTTTACAGATCATTATGATGTAACTGTGAAGTTGACCTTTGATCTTTTGGATATTAAATGTCATCAGTTCATCATTTTATCCTAGTAGACCCTGGTGTGAAATTTTGTTATAATCAGCATATGCATTTTCATATTATGGGCAAAAGCGTGTCTTGTAACGTCGCAGTGACCTTTGACCATCAAATTAGAATCAGTTTATCATTGAGTCTGATTAAATGTTAACGGCAAATTTAAAGAAATTTCCCTCAAGCCATTTAAGAGATATCATATTCACACTATATGGAACAGACAGACAACCCTGTCGCTGGTATCGAGGATAAAAAAAAAAGATGTTAACACAGTAGATAAAAGGGCCTTCTCCACTTGACAGAGTGGGGTTAGTACCTGATGTCTTTGATGGTGGCTCTCTTCAGAGGATCCACCTGCAGCATGAGCATTAGCAGCGAGGCCACAGAGCGGGTCAGGTACTCGGGGATGTAGAAGACGCCTCCTCTGATCTTCTTAAACAGTGTAGGGACGTGTTCATCATCAAAGGGCAGAGTGCCACACAGCAGGGCATACAGGATCACACCACAGCTCCAGATGTCAACCTCTGGGCCTGCATAGAGCCTGACAGAGACATAAGAAGAAGAAAACACAACCCATAAAAAATGTCCAACAGAAGGGCACTTTTGTAACTTTTAATGGCCATTATATAGGTGAAACACCCGACTATAACAGAAGAAAGACAAAAGAAGAAAGGATAATGAGAGCACCGAAGCACTGCTGAAGTACTGATGGAGCAGTTTTTTGTATATGTAGGTCCCTGTTTTGTTGGAGTCATGCATGTAGATACAAATAGATAAACAATATGGACAAAGCTAATAACCTAAAGACATAAGCCCTTTTCAGACATGGGATACGTAAGATGGCTTTATCAGTCTGTTAAAATAACGGCATTCTGTCATTCAGGCACCGGTTACTTTTACATGAACGTTCCTCACTAATTACAGTGACAGAGAGAACCATGGTGGGCACACAATGCACACAATTTGTCTTAGACAAGTGTACAAGTAACTTAGAAAACATAATGATGCACTTCTCATCAAAAGACTAAATCTGAAAGCTACCTCATCAAACTGTTTAAATAACTAATAGCTTAGTTTACTTCTGATTTCCTAAACACTAAAAAGTTTGTGCGATGACAATCTAACTTCTGCTTTACCAAAAGGAAAATAAAAATATTCAGACAGCTGTCATGGAGCTGATGAGTCAAACTGAGAACGGCTGCTATGTAACAAATGATTTAACTGTTGCTAATAAACTATTAATCTGTGTCTCTCCTGTCTGATAAGAAGAAAAGTACACAGTGTAACTGTCTCCATGTCAGAGACTATTTATGATGACAAGTGATTAACAAAGTTCCTGCTGTTTTGCCTGCATGCATGCAACTCTCTTGCTCTGGAGATGCCCACATGGATCCTGCTGCTGTCTGATGCTGCAGGTATTTATTAAAGTCAGAGGAAAGGCTTCTACGAAATGATGGAAGCAACAAAATACACTTCAGCTCCTGTTAACATTTTGTCAAAATCTGGACTACATGTAATATTGGTGAATCTTGTTAATCTAACCTGTTGCGACTTCCAAGCAGTGAAGTTTTATTTTTATGGGCATTTAAGTTTGCAATGGATGTGACATTTTAGGACAAAGTCAACAAGAAAGGCATGCACACTATGGTTTGGTCGCTGTCACGGATACTTTTAGATCAACATTGTTACGGTACCTAAATTATTTCACAGAACATCAAGTACTTAAATGTGAAACTATCTGCTGATGCGACAGCATGCAATTTAGACTCATGCCATGTTGAAAGCGATGCGGATATGCTACTAGGTTCAACATCGTAATGTTGCTGTCAGGACTTTGCAGAACAAGTAAACAAGATGCTCATTCAGACTTGAAGCTGACACATTCACAATGCTGTCGGATTAACAAAAAAAAAGAAAAACGAGATTTAAAAATGAAGTTTGGATGGGCCTGAATTCACTATCAATATTTTTTAGACTAACAATTTACAAAAAACATAATAATTAAATTTGTCAGTAATAAAAGTTATTGTTTTGCCTTGATCAGGCATGTGATTACACCAACACACACACACACACACACACCTTCCTGAGATGACCTCTGGAGCTGCATAGTTGGGTGAGCCACAGCTTGTTCGTAGGAATTCTCCATCTGACATCATGTTTGACAGTCCTGTTGAGAACAACAAGGCAAACAGACATTAACGTCCTTTTGTCTTTACTCTGACAGTAACACAGACTAACGAAAGAGTCCTCTGTGATCATATTATTGCTTTTGGTCCTTTGAAACCGATAGGTTAAAATGAACATGGCCCAGCAGGGAGGGTAGAGTCATACACTGCGGACACTGTTGAGATCTTTATCCTCCTTTACCCGCCAAGACTCTAAGCTCTAAACACAAAGCTCATCTAATTGGATGAGCGTCTCTCTGCTTGCCAGGGCGTCTGCCAAACGCTGAACACCAGACACTCTGTGATGTGCTGACCTTCCCTTTATCTTTTATCCCTGTTCCCTTAACGCCGCCTCTCTCTGCTCACTAGTGTCTTTTCGCTCTCAGCCAAAACACTTCTCCTGCTGTACGCCCCTGCCACCCCCTGATTCCTTCCCTATCAGATGACACTGGGCTTCAAGGCTTCCTGCCAGACTTGATATGAGACCTGGCCGTTGCTAAGGGACGTCTCTCCACCCCACACACCCTGCTGTGCACAAGGGCCCTCGTGTGTATTTGAGCAAAATTTCTCTCTTTCATGTACATATTGCATCAGGCATTTTGGCTTCAGCTGGAACAATTAATGCCACAACTAATAACAGGGAGTCTCCAGTGAAATATTTACTCTTATTTAATAATATAGTTAAAAGGTGCGTGATGGTGATTTCACACTTTTCTACAAGTGACTAATTGCATGGATAACAGCAACAACAACAGTCACTTGGCTTTAATCAAACTGTTTAATTACTTGGCAATTCCCCTCTGATCTGCCAGAAACTCTGCCTCTTTCTCTTCCTCATTCCCCCCTGAATAAATGCTGTTATTTCATGCATTCTCTCATCTTAAATATGCAAACATTTCTTCTGCCAAGCCTATTCTTTTGTTTCTCCCTCGGGCTGTAACTGTGGGGTCTTTTGGGAAACTCACCAAAGTCAGCAATCTTGGCATTCTTGCTGGCGTCCAGCAGGACATTCTCAGGTTTGAGGTCTCTGTGGACTACCATGTGTCTGTGGCAGTAGTCCACGGCTGAGATAATTTGCTGGAAAAGACGACGAGCTTCTGTGTCCTCCACCTGAAAGACACACAATATGAATGTTTAGATTTTTATCTTGACTAGGAATTTCCCTGGTCCAAAATTGTGTTGCCAAGGCAGGGTGTTACAAAACAGGTACAGATGTCCATGGCATGTATGTATGTATAGAGACTAAAACGAAGAACTAAAAAAAATATGTGTGTCATATAAAATATGCTCAGACTAAATAGTATCATGTAGCCATTTAAAGAGGCGTTGACTTCTGGCCACTTGGAGGCTAAAAAGCTGTAAAGAACATCAACACATTATCACCTTATTAAGTTTTTATGACTAAAAGGCTACATAAACTAATGGGAACTGACATCAAATGATAATCATCTGTGACTTTATCATCACAGTGATCCCTCTACTTTATATATAACCAACATAAAAATACTTGTAAGAGCAGTTTTGCAGATGTACAGGCGACACCGTTGCATTATTTATCTAAGGAGTGTGTGTATGTGTGTTTGTGTGTGTGTTTTTGTTTGTGTGTGTGTGTGTGTGTCTCTGTCTGTCTGTCTGTTCTCTGCATATCTGGACAACAGTACAACCGATTCACTTCAAACTTGGCCTGTGTGACACTGGGGACATGAGGAAGAGCACATCAGTCAAACTCTACGTGCCGTCGTTTTGGAGTTTTATTGGGGTCCTCTGCATGCCTTTGTTGGTGGCACCTAATTTGCCCCAGTTCCTAGGTAAACTTTTACTGTTGTCACAGTGAGTGTCATCCTGCTACACTCCTAACTCTGATTGTAAAATGTTTCAGCCATGAGCAAAGATTGTTAAATGTGCTGTTGTTGTTGGCCACAAGACCAAACACAAGAGTCTTCTGACATCTGTGGAACTGAAGACCCACGGGACAACTTTTCTTTTCTTTTCTTTTTTTTTTTTTTTTGCAACATCCTCACAAAAGTAAGAAAATCCTACATGTTAGCATGTTGTGTGGCTAATTTGGTTAACTGCAATGACGATGAACATAAATTGTGGAAGCTTTAGGACCGGTTTTAAACCACTAAACACGGACTGGGTGTTGGTTATTGGGTTTTAATGGTACTGGTTGTGCTTCAGGGTGACCCAGACTCAGTTTTTTTGTGTAGCATTTCCTGACAGTTCACATGTGAAAAATAAATAATCCCAGTGCAAGTAGTTTTGGAAATGGTAATGCTATTTTCATTGTCAAACATTGTGTGCATTGTGTAAGATAGTGAGCTCTGCAGGAGTCTCTCCAGTTCTGGGTCTGATTCGGGTTCACATGTGTTTAACTGAACTCTGGGGTTTTACTCGCTGACAGTTCCTTTAAGACTACAGACACTCTGGCAGAGCGAGCTAAAACTGAGGCTACACTGCACAGGTAAAATAGAATGAAATATCTGTGTGGTGTTTTGAGTTGAAACTTAAAAGAACGATTCTGGGGACGTGAAATTTAAAATAACTTGGTAAGAAGAGGGCCTTGATTCGGTAATTGCTGTTTGCTCTGCATCTGTTAACCAAGCAGACCTGTGTTTACAGCACTAACCATGGCAATGTATAACCTAAATAACTGCTAATAAATCAGTGACCACTGCACCCAGTGGACGAAGACAGAAACCTACCAGTCAGTTAATAACTAAAGTGTCTTACCCGTCCATTTTTGCAGATGTAGTCAAACAGCTCTCCTCCAGACACATACTCCATGACCATGAAGAAATCTGTAGGAGTACTTATTACCTGGTACCTGAAAGAGAAACACACAGTTGTATTGTTATACATTCATTAGCCTATTTCACATCCTATCCCTAAAGTTGACTTTTAAATCACCTCCAAACCCATTTTATTTACATGAACACATGCACAGCCTAAGTACACAGAAACAAAGGCGAGGCTGGGTTGTGACATGGGCTGCTGACTGTAAGCATTCCTTTCATAAAGGTCAACTATATTAAATTGCAGGCTCCATCTCATGAATGGTTACATGGAGGAGTTTCTGCACTTCATCACAATCTTTTCCATTCCTGTCAAGTCAGGTATGGCACAACACAGCCAGCACCGTGGGAGAAATCAACGCTAACTAAAGCACAGTCGTTTTCCTTATCTGTCTAAAATGTACACAGACAAAGTTTCTCAATACTCTTGACAGTGAGAGTGCTTGAGGAATTTTGGAAACTATGTCATTTGTAAAGGTTTTACAAAGATGGTAACTATGTTAAACAGCCTGCTTTTGCTCAGTACTGTTAATGCCTGATACTGTCTGTAGCAGTACAAGCAGACTGTATGTGTTCCTAAAGCATATTTGTGTTTGTGAGCCTGTGTTTACAAATGTATATGTCTCTGCTGTTCCCCAGCACTCCCGCTTATGACCTGACCTGAGGGCTCACATATCTGCCATTGCTTTGAGTGTGACAGTGGGCTAACCCTAACCCTGGCCTAAAAATAACACAGAGATTGTTGGGAGACAGTCAGACATGGACTGACAAGGAGAAAGAGGCCAGAGAGACAGAAGGAAAGAGAAAGGGGGAAGACAAGGTCAAAGAAAAGCCAATGAGGAGCCGTTACACCTGGACAAGGGAAAGATTTAGTCATGCAAGAATTACAGCAACATCTACCATCTTAACTGGAGATTTGTACTGACAAGAACAGTTTCTTTATCTAGGCCCAAGCCTGTGTGTGTGTGCACGTGTATGTTTGTGTTTGTGTGTGTGTGTGTGTGTGTGTGTGTGTGTGTGTGTGTTTGGTATGTTTGTGTGCTCTACCTCCTGGGAGGCTTGTGAGCATGCTCAGTACAGTGCAGCTGTAGTAAACAAACAGGAAACACGCATAGCATGCCACCACACACAGGGAACACATCATAGCAAAAAGGCCCACATTGCAACTGCCAATAACTTAACAGAGCTCAGTAATCTCTCTGTGAAGCGTGTCAGCACTGAGAGTCTTAAATATGACACAAGGATGTGTCGTCTTTCTCCACTTACAGCTTGATGATATGTGGGTGTCTGAACAGTTTGAGATTTTGGATCTCTCGTTTGATCTTCCCCACAACATCGAGACTGCGGATCTTCTGTCTGTTCAGGATCTTCACAGCGACTTTATGGCCTGTCAGCTGGTGCTCACCGACTAAAAACAACAGAATGCAGACATGAAGAAGATACACTAGACAGATGATTTCAAAAAAACAAACATGCAATCTCAAACAGACAGACTAAAGGGTTTAGGTTTGACTTGGAGACCTGTTTTGCAGCGGGTTGCACTGGATGAAATGTGGTTTTTATTAAGTTTTTGGCCCCCCCTCTGTAGCTCTTACTTTCTGGCTGCACCTTTTGTTTATGCAGAAACTCCACTGTTATTACAGCTGCCAAGCTCAGATATGAACCAATAATACACAGTGTGGATGAACTCCTCTGGCTCTCACCTACTGTGAAACAAACTATCTTTAGCACATTTTGATTCAGTTGAAACAATATGAACGTAGCTGAATTTCCTTTTATTTTCACTCTACTTGCTGGTATGCACGAATTGTTTTCCCCTCACACAGAATGTAGCCGTGATTTCAGGTGAGCTGACCCCTCGGTAAGCTAACACATCCTTTACACTGGAGGCTGCACACAAGAAGGAGGCGGGGTGAGCATGGAGTTAAAGCTCACAAGGTCATGCTGAGAGCCTGGAAACTAGCTAAGAAAACACAGATAATATCCTGCCATATGCTTTTCCAGAGAAGGTTTTGCGCCTGTAAATGTTATTTTTCAGTGACTTCACAGGCTACCGCCGGCTAGCAACGAGGGAAACATATCGGACTAGCAAGAAACATTAATATCAACATTAGGCTCGCGCGATGGGCTTCGGTCAGACTGTACGGCAAATTAAGCTAGCACAGCGTAAAGTCTGAACGGTTTAACGTTAAAACGGTAATAACACGAGAGTGGCCGTACATATGTATTGTCCCCCAGGTAATTACACCTGCCATAGCTGGTGACAGTGGCCACAGACAGGGGCTTGGGTGAAAGAATTTGACTTTGAAGCGGCCGTATTCTCAGTTCTCAGTTGCGCTTGAAATCCCGGCGGCTGTGGCCGTTAAACCGTCGAGCTGCGCAAACTGCTTCACCGACCGCCGGCAAGTTCAACACCGAGCGTCGGGGAAAAGGGGAGCGACTACTTCTCATTATTAACTACTCCAAACTGAAAGCCACAAACGTACACATTGGGCCACAGAAAAGAAAAGAAAAAAGAAACAGGTCTTAACTCTTCACTTTCCCGAACGTCCCCACTCCGAGCGTGTCGCCGAGGATGTAATGGCCGATCTTTACCCTGCCTTCGTGTTTCTGTTGTTGCCGCTCTGCCATCTTCTCCGTTACCGACGGCTGGGCTCGCTCGGTGCGGTGGGTGTGCTGCCTGCCTGTTTGCCTGCCTGTCGGTGGGGCGGGGCACTTCACTTCTCTTCCCAGGGAGGAACACTTGAGCCCGTTAAACGCGCAACGTCAGGTTACAGTAAAGAGAGAAGAAGCGAAATTGCTCTTCCAGAGGATCTGTCGTTAAATAGCATCTGTGTGCTTCACCCGAGTTATGAGCTCCACCCGCTCCTCCAGTCTGCCCTGCAGGGACCAGCCGTCCAGGTGTTATGTCCAGTTTTGCACCCTGGTCAAAAACTTCCCTTAGAAAGCTTTTCTCAAAATGTATAGTGTCTACCCTCCTTGGAAGTTTTCTTCTTGTTTTGCTTTTCACATTAAATCATGGTGAAGAATTTACATGTCAAAGTGAAAACATGTCTAGTAAGTAATGTCAATTCAAAATGTAAAATAAACGATTGCGTAGGTGGACATCCTCTTTGAAATGACTCACCTAATTCAACACAGATGCAGCCGACCGGTGCTAGAAATCACACAACTAGTGACATTGAGAGTGCAGTAAAACTACACCATCAAGACCAAAGAACACTCCAAGGAACTCTGTGAAAAGGTTGCTGAAAAGTATACGTCATGGGATGTCACTGAATATCCGTTGGAGTGGAGTTGAATCCATCATTAAGAAATGGAGGGAATATAGTAAATCTGCCAGGAGTGGGCCATCCTCAAACTGAGACCACCTCAACACACTTCTAAAGGAATTACAAACATAAGCAGCTAGGATGGGAGAGATTGTTCAAACAGTGCGTGTTGCGTCCTCTTCATAAGTCAAAGCTTTCTTGGAGAGTGGTAAAGAGAAAGCCACTGTTGAAAAAAGCTCATTAAATCTCAACTAGAGTTCCCCAGAAAGCACGTAGAAGACTCTGAGGTCAAACTGGAAGAAGATTATTTGGTTTAATACGATCTAAATTGAGCTTTTTGGACTAGACACTATGTTTGATGGACACTGAACACTGCACATCATCACAAACACACCACCCCCACTGTGAAGCATGGTAGTGGCAGCATCATAATGTGGGGATGCTTTTTGGCAGCCTGGAGGGCTTGAAAAGTAAAGCATGAAGTGAGTGCAACAAAGTACTTGGAAATTCTGAAGGACAACATGATGTCTACAAGAGAACTGTGACGTGGGAGAAGATTTTCCAGCAAAACAATGAGCTAAAGCATACATCCAAACAACATAGAAATAGTTTAAAGAAAACGAGATGGATGTCTGGAGTGGCCAAGTCAGAGCCCAGACCTCAGAGAAATTGTGGCTAGACTTGAAAAGCTCTGTTCACTTACAATCCCTACGCACCCTGACAGTTTTGCAAAGAAGAATGAGTTAAAATCGCAGCGTCCAGATTTGCGAGGCTGATTGAGATCTATCTACACATGCCCAGTGCTGTAATTTCTGCCAAAGGTGCATCTGTTAAATAATAACTTGAAGGAGGTGAATACTTCTGCAATCACTGATTTTATCTTGAATATTTTTTAATTGACATTATTTTGTAGCAATCTGTTTTCACGTAGACACGAAAGAGTCTTTTATTGGTAAATTCTTGCCCCAAAAACTACATTATGTTGACCGTGATTCAATACTGAAAAACAGTAAAAGGTGCAGACACTGTAAGTGAGTGCATCTTTTAACAGTATGACAGGGTCCATATTTAAAAGTCTTTGTGGGTTAATAACACAGATGCACAGGAGCAGAGAAAGCAAGCCACATGTTTTTTTATTGGTAAAACTTTCTCACAGACAGCATTGAAAGGCCAGCATGGGAAAAATGTGCACAGACGTGTTAATGAGGGACCAAAGAGTGGTTAGGTTTTTGTTTTGTTTTTGCACGGTAGCCACAGGCATCAAAGCAGTGAGAAGTATTCAGTATATCTGTGCATGCTTTCAGGCGTGTCTCTCCTGTCAGTCATATTTTCATTTTTGAGCTCACACATGTGAACATCCCACATTGTTTACACTGTCAAAGTTCATTCTTTCATTTTTCTTGATAAGCTGCTAAAAACTATAGATTGAAAAAAATGAACGAGGTGCAAAATTGTGAGTTGTTTGTATTTAGCCACTAGATGGCAGTGTAGGTTTGATTCATTGATATCCAGCAGGACTTCTGAGGTTGCTCCTGTTTCAAGCATGAGGCCTAAATCTCCCCTTAAACTGGAAAACATTTCTGGAGTTGGCACAACTTCTTCTTATCAGTTCTATGCATGTAATACGTTTTCTCAGATAGTGTATGTATGATTTCACCAACCAAACCAATCACATTAGAATTTGCACTGGTAAACTAGTTTCTTTTTTTGGTTAATATTAAATGTAGATTAAATAGATGAAAAAGACAGTATATAATTTGCAAAATAATCCATTTGCAAATTGTTGACAGATATAGTGATTGTGATACACATTATGATTTTATTGAAAATTCAAATTTTTGCACTGAAACAAATATAAAAAAACAAGATAACGAGATTTTTGCTCAGGTCTATGCGAACCAAGCATGTTCCCTTATGTCTGGAAAATATAACTCATTGGCCAAGCCATGTCTATAGCACCACAGTGCTTTATTTACGATGGTATGTAATTTTATATTGCAATTTTGATCATATTTTGATGCATTTGTCAACCCTATTCTAGACACTCTGTCACCATTCAGCAAATCTGCAGTGTACATTTCCCCAGAAAAAGAACAAAACAAAAAAAAACAATCAAATTTAAATAATGAATTACAAACTTTTCCTGTTTCCATTAGGCTATCGCTGTATTAGTATGGCCCTGCAATAGACTGGTGACCTGTCCAGGGTGTCCCCTGCCTTAACTTTGGGATAGGCTCCAGCCCCCCAGCGACCCCCCAGCGAGGATTAAGCGTTGTATAGATAATGGATGGATGGACTGCTATTGGCAAGTACAAAGTTTCCCTATAGTTATGACAGTGACATCTTTAGGATTTAGTTAAGAAATACTAGTGTAGTGCCCACTGTCAGCAGTTAAATATGATGTTTCCATACATATGTGGTACAAACAGACACAGACGCACACACACAGTTTGCAGACATACCATTAATTCAAGAATCTTGTCTTTGATCTATGACATTTTAAGTTTATTTCTAACATTGAGGACCTCAAAACTACCGCCACAGTGGTCACCACTCATCCAATCTGCTCTAAACTTGACACAGCACTTTCTCTGGTATCCAGAAAAACACCTGTCAAGTTGGAAACAGATCTGCTGTACGATTGTGGAGACATATGAAGAACAGACAGACAGACACACACTCAGATTCCTCAAGTTACAGTTAGTTAGGTGCAAGAGGCAATAAGGAGGGCCACAAAGTTCAGTGAGGCTCAGTCGCTGTGGGAACCGGATTTGATCATATAAAAAGCTTGGCTTTAAGCACAGATTGTGCATTTTGTATCAATTGACTAAATGTTGGGTGTAAGTGCACAAGATCATGTCCTGTTTTTAGTCATTTACCTGCTTCAGACAAAATGACACTGCCTATTTGGAAGTCTGGATCTGCAAGTTTAAAACTAGAACATTACCAAAAAAAAAAGGAACATTGCAACTTAATGGTACCACAATCTGACATGCCCTATCTGTGGGATCTTCTAAAGTACCACCTTAGACAAGATTCCCCTTTGCAAAGAGAAACACAGCAACACTTTTGATGAAAAACGTTGTTTTTGCCTATTACAGCTCTCCTAGTGACCAAATGGCAATTTTTTTTTGGAGGGAAGATGGTGAGACCATTCACCAAATTTGGGGTCAATCCATAAACAGCTGCAAATATATAATTCCACTACCTTCTCTGTTTGATGGTTTGGTGGCTGTTTCGATTAGCTGTAGTGGACAAACGTTGTCACATATAAAAATCCTTGTGATAATTTCAGTGAGGTTTGGTCTGAAACTCATTTTTATCAATTTTGGTGAGGATTAGGAAAAAATGTGGCCTGTTTTTATGGTTTTCCATAAAACCCAATATGGCAGAAAATGGCGCCATGGGGTGCTTTGAAGCTGATTGGATCAAAACAATTTGGTGATGCATCATTTGTAAGCTCAAAACATGCCACTTTAAAAACATATGGTTCTAAAGTGGCACAGATATGAAACTTGGTGAACTAAATCAGCGTCTGCCATATTTAAAACTTTTTACCCTATAGTTTGAGGGGCTGCCATAGAACATAATGGCAGAAGAAGTGAGTAGAAGACAAAAGATATTTAGGAAAAGATGGAAACACAGTAGAGGCCTCAGGGTTCTTTACTTGTGACAATTTTTCTTTCTTTTTTTTTTTTTACTCTGAAAGACTTAAACGTGAATATTTCAACAGACTTATGCACCACACAACACAGCTTCACTATTTGCTGGGGAGAAAAAAAATCTGATTTATGAATAGAGCAAACATCCCCTTCTCCAGGAACATGACCACTCTGTAGCGCTTCAGGCACTGTGGTGCGCCTGTCGCACCGTGCGTAACCGCTGGTGGCGCTGCCTCTCCGCACCACTCGGTTCCTCTCGGTCGGTCTGCAGTCTGAGAAAGTTTTCCATGGCAGGGATGGAGGTGATTACCCACCGCTAGCAGAGGGAAGAGGAGGGCTGAGCCTTGAAGCTGCTGGGGGAACTTGAAGAGAGCAGGGGGAGGAGGAGGAGAAGAAGGATTGATATAACAAGAGGGGCTGTCGATGCGCAATTCTCACTCCAAGTCTTTGAACCAACACCGATAACGGGGAGCGGGCTTTCCATTCATTTTCGGGCGCAGGCAACTTTTCTTTCTTGAGTCCGTGGCGCTGGTCCGTTTCACCACAGAATACAAATCTATTTTTATTTTATATTTTTGTGCGTAAAAAGCGAAGTACGAGACAGCGAGGCATCGGCAGATCCGAAACTTTTGAGAGACGCCAACCTTGCGCGAAGTTTGTCTCTTGTTGAACATTGCATGACATTTGTTTGAAGGACTTGAGAGCCTGACAGAGTTTCTTCACCTACCGCGTGGTGTGGGATTTGGAGCCGAAACGGGGAGTTCTCAAATGCAAAAGTACATGTATGAGAAAGCGATGGCCCAAGAGACAAGGAACGGAGGAACCTCTACCTTAAATAACAACAATGGTGTTGACAACAGCAAGAAGAAGCTGCTCATAGCGCTCGACATCTTCTGTCTTTTACTTGGTAAGTTTGCAGATAAGTTTACTTTACACGTTGTTCACCTTTTCTGTGATTTGCGCACCGAATTCACACAACAAAACGTGTTACAATAGACACATTTCACAGTGCCCGCGCTTTCTAATGGTTGGCAATAAAAGCCTTATCGTTTTAAAAGTATTGCTTGTTATCTGTAACCGCAAGACAACTTAATCTGCAACATCCCCTTATCATCCAACCCAACACACCACCCCATGCAGGGAAGCGTTGAACAACACTTCTTACTCAGTTTTTCAGACTTGCACATTGTTAAAAACACACTATGTGTGTTGTCAAAGCTCACAATTAAACAGAAATGACATATGTGTGAGAGTATGATAAAGCAGTTATCCAAGACTCAATCCAAGAGGTAAATTGACACTTTGTTGATTTAACTGACAGGTGTTCCGTTTCTCTCAGCTGAGACAGCAACATAAAATGTGTTGTCATCACCTAATATATTGATCATTTCAAAGTCCTGAGACCAACGCTCACGCTGCCTGTCAACATGCCTCAAGCACAAATGTTTTGAAGTGTCGTACCCTGCCCCTTAAAATAGCCAGCGGCTCCCCCTCCTGCACCCCGATAACCCTCCTCATCTGACCCCTAAACCTCCAGAGGTGCCAGTCCAGCTCGAGCTGTCCCTACATAGACATGCAAGAAAGCATCAAAGTGCAACTATTGGTATTGTTGGAACTGTCACCGAAACAGAGAGAGGAGCCGGTGGTCTGCTCTCGCTCTGCTTCAACAGGACCGACTTGTTTGTGAGATTGTGTGTCAGTCCTAACTTGTTATTCCACGAGCGTCCCGTCCAGATTCCCTCTGCTGTGTTTGTGTGTCTGTGTGTGTGTGTGCTTTGATAGCTGGTTTGTTTTTTGGCCGTTGTCACTGTTGCCCGGTCCTTTTTAGTTCCCAGCTCCAGTGGCCCCCCTTTCTTTTCTTTCTATTTCCAATCCCCCTGTCTCTCCTTTTTCTTTTTTAGAAAAAGGATTATGGGAGTTGCGCTTAACTTCTACACATTCTCTCCCAGAACCCTGCAAATCCCTGGCCAGCTGCCCCTGATTACTCCACTTCAAATTACTTTCTCTCTTTTCTAGCCCCGCTTTTTTTTTTTCTTCTTGCTTCTCCCTTCTCTGTCCAGGGGAATGCGTGGAATAATTGCTTAAGCATGTGTTGTGGCAGGGGGAATGCCTCTCCGATCTGAGCGAGGGAGAGATTGAGGAGTGGGACCCGTGGCTGACCAGGCTTTAGAGGAGCAGGTGGGGAGTCACACCGACCGCCCGAAGCATCAAAAGCAATAGGGGGAAAAAAAATGCGACATCGCTGCACGGGAGCAGAGTTTTATTACCCAGGATGTTACAAATGGTGCAGATTAACTCCACGTTCTCTCAAGTGCTGTGAAGCAGAAGCAGATCTGCCTGACAGACACAAAGTTTTTCCAGTGGGTTTATATTGGTTTGCTTATTAAAGAACCTCAGACAGAGATACAACTGTTTCATCTGCACTCGTATAAACGCGGATGAGCTTTGAGCGCATGTGGAGCGAATTTCCTGCATAAACCAACTTCCTTTTGCTGGTTAAAGTTCTACAGTTGCCTCTTTAGTTGCCGTGTGGGACACACACACATATAGATGCGTGTAAAAAAAAAAAAACACAGGACACAAATGGTCGCACAGATTCTCCTTTGTCATGCTAAACACAATCTGGCTGCTCAGCAATCATTGGTTGGCCCACTTTAGAGGGTTTTTTTGGGGGGCGGTGTACACATGAGAGGGGGTTTTAGTGGGTGGAGGGGTTAAAAGAGACAGGAGACTATGAGAAAGGGGGGGTTATCAGGGTGTCCTGAATGAGGAATGTGGGTGTGTTGAGGCCTTACAAGAATGCCTGAATGGCCTTTGTTCTGTGTGTGTGTCAGAATAAAGATACTGTATACTTTATTGCAAGTTAATGCATAAATATCTCGTTACCTTTAATTACTTTCCATGTGCCAGCTGGTGCTGAACACACACACAGTCTGTGCAGTAGCATCTTTCTATAGGTTGACAATCTGCCCGGCAGTCACACAACCGGAGGCTCAGCTAATGAGTGTGTTTGCATAAAAGACAGCTGAGGCCATCTATGATCACACACACGAGGGCAAAAACATATCATGTGTACAAGCTTCTGTTAATATCGCCTAAACACAGCAGGATCAGAACGATGCTGAAGAAAAAAAAAGAAAAGAAAAAGTCACCCTTTCTTCAGCTGCTGAGACCAGAGCTACGGCGAACAATTTTGGCAGCTGAGCGCGAGCATCATCTGCTGATTTCACTTTGGCTCGGGTTCCACTCTTACAGAGGAGCGGGGTTGATTTAGCAACGCTATAAGAAGCAAACACTATACGCTCTCTATAAATACACGAACGGCACCGCAGACTGCAGAATTTGGTTCTTCTCTTTTTCCACTTGTCAGATAGCCTTCAATCATCCAGTTTAAAACCATGTTTATTGTGAAAACACTGTGTGAAGTGACACCCGCTTGAGCTCCCAGAGAGCCATACTTCTAAAAGTAGCCTCACCTAAACCCTGATTAAGTTTTACACAATGCAAAGGAGATTATGCATTGTGTGTTTGCTTGTGTGCGGACATGGTTTGGAAGGCGTTCAGAGTTTGACATGCAGGAGCCTTTTTTTTTTGTTGTTGTTGTTGCGGAATCTAGACATGGATTTGTTCAGGACTGACTTCATCGACTCTCAGTCCTGCAGGCTGCTTTTAAAGGCTCTGGATGTCTGCTGTAGTCACCAATTACTCTTCTTATGAAACACAGACATGTCTAATGTCTCAAAACATTAAACATCAACAAACTTTTTCCATCAACATCTCATATTTCTTGCTGATATGCGATATAGTCAGGTGTTCAGTGACGTGATTTTCCATGAGCGATAGACAGGAAGGTTGTGATTAGCAACCGAGAGGAGTGTAACCTTTTGGCCTCTGGAAATCAGCCTCATAACTGGCCTCGCAGCATTAACCCTATATGTCCATACCCCGGCTCCTGCCTCCCCCATTAGCTGCTATAGCATTACGGCAGTCAGTCACACAGCCCCTCATTAAAGCTGCAGCGGTTTAACCTCTACCTCTCCAGCCCTCAGCCACTTCAATCCTGAGCCGCTCCACAAATATTTTCCAGAATTTCTCAAATTCTTCTTCTTGGCTGGAGTGCCGTCGTGGCCAAAGACTCTTGATGTGACATCTGGTGCAATTTTGGAAGTGAGTGAACCAGGGGGCATGCACTGTGTATGTGTGTGTGTGTGTGTGTAGTAGAGCTCAGGAAAGGGTGGGAAACGGAAAGGTAGTGTCGGTCGGAGGTAGGTGTGGTTGTGAAATGAAATCCTGTCCATTTTTTTTTTTGCCTCACAGTCCATTTCCACCCCCCGACCTCCCCTCCCCTTCATCCCTGCTCCCTTCTCCACTTGAGCCGGTCTTCCCCCCTTTCTTAATTGCTAAGGGAGACACTGCTAAAGGGAGAAATGCCTCGAAGGAACATGAGAAGGGAAAGACTTGAAGGGAGGAGAATACTAAATGGCGAGTTCAGACATTACGCAGATTGATTGAGCAAACTGAAGCAAAATGAGTCACATTTAAATCTCCTTTAGAACTCATCTCTCTGACAACAAGAGATAAGCAGTTTTGGGCCAATAAAACTGTAATCAAACAGCATGTGGGAGGCCCTCACACACAAACCCAAACACAGGCTCCCATTCAAAGCCGCTGACCTTAATCTAAGGGCAAATATTCTCTGGAGTTCTGCATGAGTCTGTGCAGAGGAAGTTCTCTGGGAAATACAGTAGATGCTCTCAGAGAAAGGCAGAGCTGGGATTAGGTGGGAATAAATCATGCCGTCATGTAATTTCCACTAAATCTGCTATATCAAGCCTAAAATTGGCGGTTTTACCTGAACGTTCTATTAAGTTACTTGTCAAAATCTCCCAGTAGGATAATGAGTATATACTTGAGAGAGGTACAGAAGTTGTTTGTATTTTCTGTGCGTTTCAATCCCACTGTTGATGCTTCTGAGTCTTCTTTTGTTTGGCAGATGAGGTCAAAGGTCAGGCTGAAAATAGAATCCTATAGGACAAATGCCTGCAGTGCTCCATGTATGACATTTGCTGCACTCACACACAGCAAACACTCAGTGGACATGCATTGAAGAATATGTAACATGGATCTCAAGATTCAGCTCTGACAATTGTGTATGTGTGGTATTTTCAGTATGATTACATCACTGCATGTATGCCTTTGTGTTATCTGTGGCTTTAGGGCCTGTGGAGAGTTGTTGTGTGTGTTTATGTCACGGCTGCAGGGCGAGGCGAGGTTAGGGGCTCTTAAGAAGGTGATGTGCGTCCTCTGGCTGAAAAGCATCATTGTCTTATGCAATAAGATAAAGATCAGCAGATGATCAGTGGCCACAGGGAAGCCACCTCCGCTGTGTCTTTTTAAGTGTGTGCTTTCGCGTTTGTGTGGTGATGAAGAGCAGTAGTGGTTTTGTTGCCCGACATGTGTGCGTGTGTGTGTGTGTGTGTGTGTGTGTAACATTTCCAGCCTGTCATTGTGACATGTGGCTGCTTTCAGCTGGTGCAGGAGTTAAATGACAAACCCCTGGGGTTTGTGTCTGTGCAGGGCTGCGATTAGAGGTGTGTGGGTGCGAGCGTGTGCCTGTGCGTCCCATGGGGGTTCATGAGGGAGAGGGAGCGCTCGGAGCTGTCATTAAAAAGGACTGTATGGCCTGAAGGGGCGAGACTGTCTGCTGATGTGTGTGTGGGTAGCATGTGCAATGCATCTGTGGCTTTAATTTGTGTGTGTGTTTGTGTCCCATGTGGCTCCCGTGGGCAAGCTGAAGGCATCAGGTTGACGGATGTGCCTGTAACTTTTAATGCTGGTGCACCAACCAGATACTTTCATCTCCTTTAACCCTTTTCATTCGCCGTCTCCATCCTGGCAAACAGTTCA